ACTGAATGAGCTCTGACACACACAGCATGTTTACTCTGAGGATTTTCTGTTCTGAGCTGTGTTTTCATTCGTTTCACACTGTCAGTTTTCACTCTTTCAGTCCTTCTGTTTCAGTGTTTCATCATCATCCGTTCTCTATTTAAGCTCAGGCAGGACTGTAGCTAGAACTGTTAGAACGGGGTGTCCAGAGGTTTCATTATAGAGGCCCTTTACTGAGAAACAACTAAATAAAGCAGCATCACTGTATTAAAACGACATAAACACTGATGTGTGTCTTTCTCTCTGTGTAGAACTAAATCTGTCCATCATTTCCACATGAATAAAATATGACATCAACACAGCTGCAGAGAGTAAACTGAAAGACAAACCTGTGCTGATGTAACATATTTTAGTCTTTTGTGAGGAAATTGTGTGTTTGAATCAAGTAAATTAAATACATCATTTATTATTTGTCACACATCAGCAAATCCATCACTCATTGATGGATTTGCTGATGTGTCTGATTGTGTTTCTCGCACTAAACTCGGTTTTTACCGTCAGGTCCAGACTGAATACTTTCCTGCTGGTCCGGACAGCTAATTATCACGATCAGTTATTAAAGAAATAAAAGCTACCGAGAGCAGATCCGAGCAGCCTGGATTAATCTGTGTCTGAGGATTATAACTAAACAGATTTGGTGAAAATCGGTTGAGTAATAAGGAAGTTGTGGCTGATTTAATCCTGAGACTCTTCGTCTCTCAATACAAGTGAATTTGTTCACAAGCGGATCTTGACCTCTCCAACATGGCGGACGCGCAGACGTATCGCCTCAGATAGAGAACAGCAGACAATGAGGCCTTTGGGTATGTATATCTATGGTTCTCCTCCCTTCCCTCTTACCCCTCATTGCTCACTAGCAGCTCAACACAGTGTATCGCTGTTGTTGGAACAAAACCTCGTATCTCCAAAATGGTAACTTTACAGGAGAAGGAAAAACATACTTTACTTTTAATGTAAGTCAATGGAACCAGACGTCTTTCCAAGTCATTCTGGGTGAAATTTACACTCAATGTAAAGGGCAACGGGTATTTTCAAATTATGTCAAAAACTGAAAAATGACAGAAATGGAGATATGAGGTTTTGTTCCGACAGCAGTGATAAACAATATAACCTGAATATGAATGATGTGTGAAATATGTTTCTTTAATTTTGCATCAGAGCTGCAGGGCTGATTTAGCTAACATGCAATGTTAGCACAGTTAGCACTACGTTTACACCTCAAACACTGAATTATAGAGGAATTTCGAAAAGTTGGTGTAATTGCCCTTTAAATTTCATAGCTACTGAGCCAGCTGGCTGTGTTCAGGTGCGCACATGATCTTTATTTTTATGGATATAGTGACTGATACAGCCAGACACACTGAAACCAGTTTTAATCACATTTCTATGATCAGTGGTGAGAACCCAATAAATAATTATACATATATAACATCATCAATATCGTTATATTGGTCTTATATTGCAGCACAGACTGAAATATACCTTTCGGGCTCATCGCGCTGCGGCCGATACACTTGGTTCCAGTGCCCAAAGCCACGACCTCCCTCTGGACTGAAGAGCAGAAGAGAGTAGAGCTCAGTAGCACATCAATACTGATCAACTGATTACTGATTATTGATTGCACCATGCTTATCAATATTTACATCTTTATCTGACCATTGATTAAGCTGATTTGTCCAGACTGAGCTGTGTTTTAATGTTTCTCTGGTCAATAAGCTGATCTTTTCTGATCACTGATTAATGACTGCTGATTAACTGCTGATCTTGTGACATCACAAAAACCTACACATTTACATATATCTGCATATTCGGCCAACAGCAGTTCAGCCCCTCCCACTCTACGCAGTAAAGAGCGGCCGAGCGTTTCTGTACGTAAAATACCGAACGAATCAGGAAGGATCGCTGTTTAAATGCTCACTGGATGATTTGTTCACATTGATTACAGATAATGATTGATCACTGTGATCACAGATTATCTGATTATTGATTAATGACTGATCCAGTTTATTGATTAATAACTGATTCAGTTTATTGATTAATGATGGATCCAGTTTAAACGTTTCATCTGATTAATGACTGATCAAGTTTACTGATTATGACTGATCTAATTTATTGATTATGGCTGATCCAGTTTATTGATTATGACTGATCCAGTTTATTGATTATGACTGATCTAATTTAATGATTATGGCTGATCCAGTTTATTGATTATGACTGATCAAGTTTATTGATTATGACTGATCCAGTTTATTGATTATGACTGATCTAATTTAGTGATTATGGCTGATCCAGTTTATTGATTATGACTGATGCAGTTAAATGCTTATCTGATCACTGTTTGTGGTTTCTGGGTGTTGATTCCTGTTTTTTATCTTATTAAGCGATTGATCGTGGCTCAGTGCTGAATACTGGTTATTGATTAGTCCTGCTGACCGCTCTGCCCGGCTGCTCCCTCGCTGATCTTCAGCACGGCGGCCAGCAGAGTCCACTGCAGCCCGGCCTCGGGCTTTCCTCTCCGGGGCAGAGAGCGGTACCGATCGTACACCAGGCTGGAGATCTGATCAGCCTCGGACATCCTGGAGACGGGAAACAGCTCAGCGGATCAGACTCAGCACTGCGGATCAGACTCAGCACTGCGGATCAGACTCGGCACAGCGGATCAGACTCGGCGCTGAAGCTTCTTACTCGAATTTGCCGCTGCTGCGGGTGGAACGACAAACTCGAAAAAGGAGTCAAAATCAGCGTCTGTCTGCAAAATAATCCTCTCTCTAACTTCACAAACACGATCCTTAAAAATAAATTAAAATCCCAAAATGCAAAGAATTTGAATCTTCAAACTTCACGCTTTTAAATTCTGTAGATAAAATGCTGAGAGTCCGTTTAAAATCTTTAACTTCCGGGTCTTTTTTTTTTGTTTTTCAAATTAAGAGTCTCTGTAGTAGACTGCTAAAAATCTCCTCCTCTCTCTCTCTCTCTCTCTCTCTCTCTCTCTCTCTCTCTCTCTCTCTCTCTCTCTCTCTCTCTCTCTCTCTCTCACAGAGCAGGTACTATTTGGGTGGTGGGTCATTCTCAGCACTGCAGTAAGACTGACGTGGTGGTGCTGGTGTGAGTGGATCAGACACAGTAGTGCTGCTGTAAAAGGGGGCTAACAAAGTATGCAAAGTATGCAGAGAAACAAACGGACTACAGATGTACCAACCAGCGTCGTCCTACTGTCCGAGATAATCTCTCACCCTCATCAATCAATATTTTAATTAGTTCTTTATTGAATACTTGTGGAGTGAGTGGAAAACTGCACTCACTGGTGTTCTGGTTCACATTTCTCTCTTGAACACAGTGTCTTCCAGTTCTGCCTCATTTCTGTACAGCACAAAAACAGGCATTTTGATGGTTTAGACACGATTTAGCAGGTGGAGTAACACAAACAGCCTGGCTGTGCGATTAAAGCTGTTTTCACTCAGTGTAAATACACACGGCCATCTTATTTAATGCTGTGCAGACGGTGTTTGTGGCAGTGCTACTGAAAATGGGATCAGGGAGAGTTTGAGGGGTTTTAAGGGGTTTAATGTTTTCAGTAGGGGTGGGCGATATTACAAAATTAATGATACTTCGAGACATTTTCACAATACGCAGTTCAGCTTTTCAGGTTCGATCAATCAAAACAGATGAAGAAGCCTCAAAATTTAATCAACATGTTAAAAACATTGATTTTAATTCAGCATCTCACCCACTGTGCTGCACCAAATCCAATTAAATCCAACTCAGGAAAGAACACTGTGACAAAAAGAGTAGCAGTTTATCACCATAACAATAAAAATTGTCGTATTTCAGGTGATTAGAAGGTCGTTTGGGTCAGTCGGTTCTCTGTCGTTGCTCTTGTCTGTGAATTAAGCGCATCAACACATAGCTGATGGACAATCCACAGAGTTTAAAGAGGTGCGGCTAAATAAACGTTACTGGGCCTCGTTCACTGTTCTCCAGAACTTTCTTCTTAAACCCACTTAAGCAGTTCTGATAAAGACTCTGATTCACCAATGTTCTCTTATTTGGGATTTGTTCTTAGGTAAGAAGAACACGTCATGAATCTGACTTTTTCTTAGGATCTCTCTCAAGAACACACTTAAGAACAAACTTAAGAACAAACAAGGAGGATATTGAAGAATGAGGCCCAAAGTCTCGTTTCAGTGGACAGTAGCCTGTAAGTGAGGCCTCTGACTTGACTTTTCCTCCAAAGTGGTGACATTAAAACTGAGCGCATGTCTAGCAAAACTCAGTGGCGTTCTCTGCTCTACACACTTAAAAGATGGTTCTTTAGTAAATAAAGTGGTTATATACACGAACATGAATGTGTTGGTGTTGGATGGTTCTAAATAGAACCTTTTTGAAAAGAGTTCTATATAGCACCAAAAAGGATTCTAGTACTGGTACGAGCTTGATATTGTACCAATAGCAGAACCCCTTTTGGTTCTTTTTAGGCTTTAGCAGAGCTCAGTAACGCTGAGATTAATAACTGATCACATTGATTTATCAGTCTACTCAGGCTTTAGCAGAGCTCAGTAACGCTGAGATTAATAACCGATCACATTGATTTATCAGTCTACTCAGGCTTTAGCGGAGCTCAGTAACGCTGAGATTAATAACCGATCACATTGATTTATCAGTCTACTCAGGCTTTAGCAGAGCTCAGTAACGCTGAGATTAATAACCGATCACATTGATTTATCAGTCTACTCAGGCTTTAGTAGGTCACAAGTGAGCACTGATGGTGTTTTTTCTTTGAGATTTTATGTGTTTTATTATTATTAGTGTGTAAGTATTCTAATAGTATTCTCCTAAAATTGTAAAAGTAACTGTATTCTGAATACTGCCTTTAAAAAATGTAACTTGGACTGAGTACAGATACTGAATATCTGTATTCTGAATACTTATTCCCGATACTTGTATTCCGATACGAGTACGTCTGCATGTCCACTGTTCACTGTGACTGTGTGTGGTGTAAATGAACGTGAGGCTCAGACCAGCGTGTACATACTGAATTTAATCATGGATTTTTTTTTACAACATCCTTTTTTCTCTCCCAAACTACAGAATTCATATTTACTTTCACTCTGTACAGCAGAAGGCGCCATTTCACAATTAACAAAAATAATAAAAACAAAGAAATGAAATCATTTTTAAAGCGGACACATTCTCTCACTCAGAGCCTCGCGCACTAACACTCAGTCTGCTTCTCACGTACAAGATTCTCTCCCAGGTACTGCAGGCGTGATGCGTTTGCTTTAGCGCTGCTGTTGCGGTTTATTGGTTTATTGGTAAAATTTAACAATCATCTTTTATTTTTGCAGGTTGTGGTTCTGCTCTTCCCACAACAGGGGGCGCTGTTTCTGCCGCTCCATCGCCCTCTTCAGGATGCTTAAAGGTACAAAAAGTAATATATTCTCATTTCATTTGCGTCTGGTGTATTACTGGCTCGCTGCCCGTCACATGATCACAGAACAGGAAGCAGCCTCCGGCGTTGCCGTGGTGACGAGGAAAAGGCGCTTTGCTGGCGACAGGTCTAATATTCCATTCCTACTGCCTTTAATAATCAAAATAACAGTATGGTGCTAATATCTGTAAGAGTCCTACTTCTTTATGGAAATTTCTACGTGTATCTTAAAGGTTGCGCTGGTCCCTCCCCCGACCCGTCCCAGCAGGTGAGCCGAACTGGCTCCGCCCCCCTCCCCACCTGGCCCAGCTTTGCCCTAATCGCCCCTCACTCCTGCCCGAAGCCCTCGGTCTCCTCGATGGCGAACAGAAGCTTCTCCCTCAGCTGCTCCAGGTTCCGGTATGGCGGCAGGTCCAGCCGGTTGAAGCTGCGTGAGTGAACGAGAGTTGGAAGAGACTCAGATCAGTTAGAACTTTCTGGAAAAATGATAAGAGCTGTTTTAGATCTGAGGCTCACCAGGTGTGGCTTCTTGGCAGCCACGTCTCCTTCCCCACTTTGTCGATGCAGAACTTCTGCGGCCCGTTGCTCCCTGAGGAAAAAGCGCAGTGAGGTAAACAGCAGTTAAAGAAGGTGTGGCTTCAGAACAAACTCAGTCTGAGCCAGCAAGGAAAATTCAGCAGTGTGTTGAAGGACAGTCACAGTCCAGCGGCGTCAGTGGAGTGTGGACTTTACACGAAGCACATACAGCCTCTCGGAGCGAAGAGCCCCATAAACAAACTAATTACATACATTTTTGACATATTTTAGTAGCAAAATATAATTTAATGTTTTAAAACACATTGAAAAGCTCGATCTGAATCTCGTCTAGTTTCTGTACATGTAATGAACAGTTCCTACCCTCAGGCTGTCAGGCTTCTGAACAAGCTGCGAAGCTGTGAGTTCTCCCTCCAATACCGTTTCAAATCAAATCAGCCTCGACTTCGACTCGGACGTAATTGAGGGTGACCCTCATTTATAACGTGGCCGAGCAAATTACACAGGAATTGAAGAAGTTTAAATTGAATTTGCCAAATAAAACAAATGAAAATCATGAAGACAAAACAATTTATAAAAAATTATAATAAACAATAAAAATAATAATAATACATAGAACAAAAATTATAATTATGCAGTAAAAAAACCAACTAATACGCAACAAGAAAACAAACTTTAGAAAAATCTAATTATTTACTAGAATAGAACAGTAAAAGAATTAACATGAAATAAAACAGTTGCAATAAAATAATATATAATTAGGTATATAAATAGGTAAAACAGTTTCAGGCTGTCTGAAGGTGTTTAGAGACTAAAAGTTTAAAGCGACTCAGTGACTCCACTGAGTGAGTTTCAGAGACTCCTGTAGTGAAGTCCAGTTCACTGGGTCTGCAGCTAAAAGCTGTGCAGCTTTCCCAGTTCAGTAAAAACTCACTCCGTCATTTTGTTAGTATTATTTATTATTTATTATATCATATCACTGCTGTGAACAATATCGATAAGTCACTTTAATATATATATTTGTAGTTCTTTTGTTTCAGTTACAGACTGTAGTCCATCTGTTTCTCTGATACTTTGTTAGCCCCCTTTTACCCTGTTCTTCAGTGGTCAGGACCCCCATGGACCCTCACAGAGCAGGTACTATTTGGGTGGTGGATCATTCTCAGCACTGCAGTAACACTGACGTGGTGGTGGTGTGTTAGTGTGTGTTGCGCTGGTCTGAGTGGATCAGACACAGCAGTGCTGCTGGAGTTTTTAAACACCTCAGTGTCGCTGCTGGACTGAGAATAGTCCACCAACCAAAAATATCTAGCCAACAGCGTCCTGTGGGCAGCGTCCTGTGACCACTGATGAAGGACTAGAGGATGCCCAGCACAAACTGTGCAGCAGCAGATGAGCTATCGTCTCTGACTTTACATCTACAAGGTGGACTGAGAAGGTCTAATAGAGTGGACAGTGAGTGGACACAGTGTTTAAAACTCCAGCAGCACTGCTGTGTCTGATCCACTCAGACCAGCGCAACACACACTAACACACCACCACCATGTCAGTGTTACTGCAGTGCTGAGAATGATCCACCACCCAGATAGTACCTGCTCTGTGAGGGTCCATGGGGGTCCTGACCACAGAAGAACAGGGTAACAAAGTATCAGAGAAACAGATGGACTACAGTCTGTAACTGTAGAACTACAAAGTGCACCTATATATATATATATATTTTTTTTTCTCTCTAATCAGATTAACCTCTGTCTAATATATTTGTACACAGTACAGAGTTTTCTTCCATAGGTCCCTCCTATCTCTGTATATATTGTGTATATTTATCATATTTCAGTTATTTAGTATTTTTTTTTGGTCTGCAGTGTTTTTAGTGTGTATATAACGCTGCCCTGCTGCAGAGTGATTAGCTGAGCCTCACCATAACCATTTCAAAGCATGAATGTCCTGACATGCTGTGCAAATGACAAATAAACTTGTGTAACGAGTTTTAAAGTTAATGTAAACTCTTTCTGTTAAAAATAAAAAAGTGGCCTCGTATGAGTCGGCAGATGAAAAAATATGCTAAACCTCTGTCCCTGAGGAAAAGGAGCAGTGATGTAAACAGCAGTTAAAGAAGGTGCGGCTTCAGCGTCACAGCTTGAATAAACTGTGTCTAAGTCAGTGAAGCCAGCCGAGGAAATCCAGCAGTTTGTCGAAGGACAGCCACAGTCCAGCGGTTTTAAGTGGAGCGTGTGCAGTGGTGGACTTTACGCTCAGTCTGGGAGCCAAGAGCCCCATAAACAAACTAATTACATATAAGTACATTTTTGACGTATTGTAGTAGCAAAATCTAATTTAATGTATAAGTAACTTAAAAAAGTGAGTAACTGAGTTAACCTGAACTGTGGAGTTTGCTGAATTGAATAAGCTCAGAAATATAAAACACAAATTACTTTAACTTTAACTTAATATAAGTTTTATGAACTCAAAATTTCAAGTTAACCTGATTAAGTTTAAAAGCTACATTTTTTAGTGTACTGTAATCTAACCTGACTTTTAATGTTTAATTTGACTATTTAAGTATACTAATTTAATTTCTAATTTGATTTCTTAATTTAAAGATTCTCTTTTACATTGTTTTAATCATGTTTTTAATGTTGCTTTTAATTATGTTTTTCTTTTCATGTTTACTTTTTTTAAACAAGTCTGTAATTTCTCATTTGTAAAGCACTTTGAATGACAGCAGTGTATGAAAGGTGCTCTATAAATAAACTTGCCTTGCCTTAATGAAGTTAAATATTGTATACTGATACATAAATCAGAATGACTGTCCATTTGTACTATAGTGATTATATTAAGTGCCCCCCCCCAAACTCCAGGCTGTAATGGAGTATTCCGTGTTGTGACGTGACTACAAAACCATGTAAAGACAAGACAGGTACAAGCAAGTAGGGGTGGGCGATACAGTATCTTCACGATACACAATATTCTAACCCTCAGTCTGTTTCTGGTCTCATAAAAGATTCTCTCCTATGTACTGCAGATATGATGTGTTTGCCTTAATGCTGCTGTTGCTGTTTATTGGTTAAATTGTATACATTTTGTTTCGCAGGTTGTGGTTCTGCAGTTTCCACAACAGGGGGCGCTGTTTCGGCCTCTCTATTGCCCTATTCAGGATGCCTAAAGGTACAGAAAGTAACATATTCTCTATACAAAAATACATGTTGTTTTTTGCGTCTGGCGTATTACTGGGTCACTGCCCGATCACAGAACAGGAAGCAGCTTCCAGTGTTGCTATGGTGATGAGCAAAACTAGTGGCTGTTCATTTGTATTATAGTGATTATATTCAGTGCTGCCCCCCCATTTCAGGCTGTATTGGACTATTCCGCACGGTCACATGACTATAAAACTGAGTGAATGCAAGACAGGTACAAACGGTACAAAATTAGGGGCGGGCGATTCAGCATTTTCTCAATACACGATACGCATCACAATATTCTGACACACTGACAAGTACTGACGATATCCACACTGCGCCCAGAAAGGCCTATTATCACAATCAAGTTCATCACTGCAAGGGTTCTCTGCATGGTGAAACGGTTCCTCAGATCGGATGGAGAATGTGTATAAGGTCTATATAGCACCAAAAAAAGTTGTTCTGTTTTTACAAGCTTGACATCATAACAATAGCAGAACCACATTCTCCATCGATCAGAAGAACCATTTCACCATGCAAAATGTTCTTTGAGTGCTCATGGTTCCATACCATTGTCTTTACTAAAGAACCCTTGAAGAAACAGCTTATTAAAGAGTGTATAATAAAACATCATCATACTGCAAACCCTGCTCAATCTGTTGTCTCATATAATGCTACTTTTTGTTTTTACAATATTCAATAATACATGTAAAGAAACTAGAATAGAAGTTACAAATCAAGTTTTTTAAATGTATTTCCAAACATTACGCTATATGCTGCCACTGAAATACGTCAGAAATATAATTTTAAGAGAAAAACAGGAATTTAACAGGTTATATATAGCATAAAAACTTTGTTCTCTGGGAGAGGTGAGAAGGACTGGGGTGAATTTCTGGTGGGCCAAAACGAACATCCTCGCGGGCCACGCTTTGATCTGATCTAATTCCATTAGCTTTGTGTTCAATAAGTGTATATTTGGCATTTTTTACCTATGAGCTCAGCGAAGCCCCCCACAGGCAGTCTGCAGGTTCCAGTGACGAACTGCAGCAGCCGGATCCTTTTCTCATTGTCCATCTCCTTCACGACCTACAACCAACAGGAAACAGTGAATGAACACATGGACAGCAGTGAGAGACAAATACAAACACACAGACACAGAGTACACAAACCTGCCAGAACCAGTGGATCTGCTTGCTGTTCTTGGTGTAATGACGATAGATGGTGTTTTTCTGCCAGTCACTGAGGTCGATCTCCTGCATCCCACACAGCATCAGCTGAGAGAGAAACCAAACAGATCAGAGCAGGACGCTGGGTTACGGAGCTGTATAAAGCCCGATCAGAGCGGGACGCTGGGTTACGGCGCTGTATAAAGCCCGATCAGAGCGGGACGCTGGGTTACGGCGCTGTATAAAGCCCGATCAGAGCGGGACGCTGGGTTACGGCGCTGTGTAATGCCCGATCAGAGCGGGACGCTGGGTTACGGCGCTGTATAAAGCCCGATCAGAGCGGGACGCTGGGTTACGGCACTGTGTAATGCCCGATCAGAGCGGGACGCTGGGTTACGGCGCTGTACAAAGCCCGATCAGAGCAGGACGCTGGGTTACGGCGCTGTATGAAGCCCGATCAGAGCAGGACGCTGGGTTACGGCGCTGTATAAAGCCTGATCAGAGCAGGACGCTGGGTTACGGCGCTGTACAAAGCCCGATCAGAGCAGGATGCTGGGTTACGGCGCTGTATAAAGCCCGATCAGAGCAGGACGCTGGGTTACGGCGCTGTATAAAGCCTGTTCACAGCAGGACGCTGGGTTACGGCGCTGTGATAAAGCCCGATCAGAGCAGGACGCTGGGTTACGGCGCTGTATAAAGCCTGATCAGAGCAGGACGCTGGGTTACGGCGCTGTATAAAGCCTGTTCACAGCAGGACGCTGGGTTACGGCGCTGTATAAAGCCTGATCAGAGCACGACGCTGGGTTACAGTGCTGTATAAAGGCTTTTACAGTATTCTGCAACAGGGCACTGATTTCCGTGTTATGATTCAAAGTAAAATTCATTGTGTAAAATGTTTCTGCTGCACCCACCTCCAGCTCTTTCTCATCGAAGTAGCGAAGCCATTCGAGTGGAACCACCTCATTAAATCCGTCCAGGAAGGCTTTGGTCTGCTCCTCTACACCTCGCGTGAACCGCCAATCTGTCAGCAAACTGAGCACAAATACGGAACTGAGCAAACAGCAGCTCAACCACAACCATAACTCCTCATCCTAATCCCAATCCTCCAACTCCAAATTCTGACCTCCAACCCTAATCCTAATCCCAAATCCAACCTCCAACTCCAATCCTGACCTCCAAGCCTAATTCAAATCCCAACCTTAATACCAAACTCCAACCCTAATCCAAATCCCAACCTTAATACCAAACTCCAACCCCAATCCAAATCCCAAACCCAACCTCCAACTCCATCTCCAATCCCGACCTCAACCCTAATCCAAATCCTAACCTAAACCCTAATTCAAATCCCAACCTCTAACCCTAATCCAAATCCCAACTTCCAACTCTAATTCAAATCCCAACGTTAATACCAAACTCCAACCAGAATTCAAATCCCAACCTCCAACCCTAGTCCTAATCCAAACCTCCAACCGTAATTCAAATCCCAACCTCTAACCCTAGTCCTAATCCCAACCTCCAACTCTAATTCAAATCCCAACCTCTAACCCTAGTCCTAATCCCAACCTCCAACTCTAATTCAAATCCCAACCTCTAACCCTAGTCAAAATCCCAATCTCCCAAGCTTTTTCAAAGCCCAAACTTAATCGCAATCTCCAACACTAATCCAAATTCCAAACAACCTTAATCCTATCCTCCAGTGCCAAACTTTATCTCAATACCAACCCGTAATTCCAGCTTCAACCCTAATTCCAGATCCCAGTCCCAAAGCCTAACCTCAAACTCCAACCCAAATCTCAACTTTTAATTCCAAACCACAACCCTAATCCCAGTCCCAACTCCAACCTTTATGCCAAATCCAATCCCAATCCGAACTTCTAATCCCAAACACCAATCCTTAGCTCAAAACCAACCCCTTATTCCAGATCCCAGTCCTTACATCCAATTCAAAACTCTAATTCCCCCCCCCTCAAAACTCTAATCTTTGTCCCAAATCCAACCTTCAATTCTAAACCTTGATCCTAAAGTCAATCCTAACTTCAACCCTTATCTCAATCCCAACCTCTAGTGCTAACTCCAAACCCAATTCCAGATCCCAATCCCAAACTCCAGCCCTAATCCCCAATACAATCCAAACCAGGGGCGGAGTCCTGTTTGTAATGCCTGGGTGGGGCTTTCAGCGATAAGGGGCGTGGTCAGTACCTGATATACTCCTCCTTGTTTTCGCGGGTGACGAGCTCGTTCTCCCCGTCGTCTTTCAGCTGGTGAGTGGAAACTTTCCCTAAGATCTCCATGTCCTGAGCAAAATACAGCTCCACGCCGCACTCCTCCAGATCGTTCTCCCTGAAACACACAGACACACACACACACACACACACACACACACACACACACACACACACACCAGACACACACACACCACACACACACACACACACACACACACACACACACACACACACACAGACACACACACAGACACACACACACACACACAGACACACACACACACCGGTGCGCGGTCAGCAGTGCTGCTCCGTCCGCCTCTTTACGGGAGCCTGAGAGTGTTTACAAGAGCCGGATACTCACTTAACCCACATGATGGAGTTGTAGAACTCGGGGTCGATGGACTCCAGGTCCTTCAGCGTGGGTTTCTTATTGAGCATGCGCTTATAGAAGGGCAGAGTGAAGCCGGTATCGATAAACTTCCCGTGGTACAGCGCCTGCAGCGGGACAGACCCATAAACACAGCTGTTTCAGTCATTTATTCGTTTAGTCATTTAGTTAAGGGATCTGTAAGGATTCATGACCGAAAAGAAGAGAGTCCTGTCAGAGACGGAGATATTTAAACGTCAGTGTGCCCGCTGAGAACAAACAATCATATTATGTCAACAGAGTCTGTTTAAGACTCTGCTATCTGTGATGAAATGTTCATATGAGTCCAGACTTTACTGTGAAGTGCAGAGACTGCTGTGCTTAAAACATGAAGATCCTGATTCACATCCTGCACAGACTGAACAGCAGCCAGCTACCACAAGAGTATGTGTGAGAGAGAGAGAGAGAGGAGAGAGAGAGAGAGAGAGAGAGAGAGAGAGAGGGAGAGAGAGAGAGAGAGAGAGAGAGACACATCATATAGGTTTTGTTTTACTATTATAAATGCTTTTATATTATTAACTCATAATTAACACTTTCTCCTTCTAATTGTTGTGTTGTTATATATCAACCTTGGTTTTGTTTTTTTATTTTTAATATATGGATAATTGTTGCAGTGCTTTGACAATACAAATGTAAATTTGTCATGTCAATAAAGCAAACTTGAGAGGGCAAGAGACAGAGAGACTGAGAGAGAGAAAAGAGAGAGAGAGAGGAGAGAGAAAGAGATGAGAGAGAAAGAGGGCAGTAAGAGAGAGAGAGAGACGGAGAGAGAGAGAGGGCAGAAAAGGAGGGAGAGAGAGAGACATTGTGTGTGTATGTAGAGAGAAAGTGAGAACAGCAGAGTCTTTATTTGAGGCGTTTCCACTCTGAGTTTTAGACTAAATATAGCCGGGTTGGCGGGTGTGGGCAGGGCGCGGCACTGACCTCATACAAGGGTGGGGGGCAGGGGGTGGTAATGTGTCGTGTGTGTGGTGTGTGTGTGTGTGTTGGTGTTGAGGTCTGTAGTTTCTGGAATGTCTCCCAGAGTGAGCTGGATGGAGGGGGGGGTGATTGGTATAAAGCAGCTATTCACTCCATCACAAACACTGTTCATATTCATAAATCACACTCATTTACACACACACACACACACACACACACACACACACACACACACACACAACACTGTTCATATTCATAACCACACTCATTTATACACACACACACAAAACCACAGACACCAACTAAAAATCAGCACCGCTGCAGGAAAAGCTCTTAAAGGGGAACCTTAAAGCACAAGTACTTAATTTTTAAATATTATAAGAGAAGAAAAACTTTACTTTTACATCAGATACGTCCCGATCCAACTCAACAACTTTACTGCTGAGTGCTAGTACTGGTCCAATCTCTGTACTTTTATAGCCACATCATTAGTGTGATATTAAATTAAGTAATTAAAAGGGATTTCCACTGTTTTTTCTAAATTAATTAATTCAAGATTAATAACTGCCTCACAGTTCACAGTGGTGGTGATAGGAACCAGACGTCCACCTCTAAAAGCTCCCTCACAGAAAGTTATTAAATTAAATGGTTATGAATATGACTATGTTTGTGTGCATTTACGTAATATTTCTTCATTTTCCAGCCTCTCTTTATTCCTTACAATTACACAGGCTGTTTTTGTTACTGTGCCTTTAAAACTGATGTATGTAAATGAGCTCTGTTCTGATTGGGTATTCAAAAAACAAACCAGGCTGCAACACTCCTTATAACTTAAGAGCAAATAGACTACTGTAGGCTGAATGGGTGGGGCTAAACTGCTGTATGCTGAATGGGTGGGGCTAAACTGCTGTATTCTGAATTGGTGGGGCTAAACTGCTACAGGCTGAATGGGTGTGGCTAAACTGCTGTAGGCTCAATGGGTGGGGCTAAACTGCTGTATTCTGAAAGGGTGGAGCTAAACTGCTGTAGGCTGAATGGTGGGGCTAAACTGCTGTATGCTGAATGGGTGGGGCTAAACTGCTGTATTCTGAATGGGTGGGGCTAAACTGCTGTAGGCTGAATGGGTGGGGCTAAACTGCTGTAGCTGAATGGGTGTGGCTAAACTGCTGTATTCTGAATGGGTGGAGCTAAACTGCTGTAGGCTGAATGGTGGGGCTAAACTGCTGTAGGCTCAATGGGTGGGGCTAAACTGCTGTATTCTGAAAGGGTGGAGCTAAACTGCTGTAGGCTGAATGGTGGGGCTAAACTGCTGTATGCTGAATGGGTGGGGCTAAACTGCTGTAGCTGAATGGTAGGGCTAAACTGCTGTAGCTGAATGGGTGGGGCTAAACTGTTGTAGCTGAATGGGTGGCTAAACTGCTGTAGCTGAATGGTGGAGCTAAACTGCTGTAGCTGAATGGTGGGGCTAAACTGCTGTAGCTGAATGGGTGGGGCTAAACTGCTGTAGGCTGAATGGGTGGGGCTAAACTGCTGTAGGCTGAATGGGTGGGGCTAAACTGCTGTATTCTGAATGGGTGGGGCTAAACTGCTGTTGGCTGAATGGGTGGGGCTAAACTGCTGTAGCTGAATGGGTGGGGCTAAACTGCTGTTGGCTGAATGGGTGGGGCTAAACTGCTGTAGCTGAATGGGTGGGGCTAAACTGCTGTAGCTGAATGGGTGGGGCTAAACTGCTGTGGCTGAATGGGTGGGGCTAAACTGCTGTTGGCTGAATGGGTGGGGCTAAACTGCTGTAGCTGAATGGGTGGGGCTAAACTGCTGTAGCTGAATGGTGGGGCTAAACTGCTGTAGGCTGAATGGTGGGGCTAAACTGCTGTAGCTGAATGGTGGGGCTAAACTGCTGTAGCTGAATGGTGGGGCTAAACTGCTGTAGCTGAATGGTGGGGCTAAACTGCTGTTGGCTGAATGGGTGGGGCTAAACTGCTGTAGCTGAATGGGTGGAGCTAAACTGCTGTAGGCTGTAGTGCCAAAAAGGGTTCTGCTGTTGTTATGATGTCATGCTTCTTACAATAGAAGAACCCTTTCTGTTGCTATATAGATCCATTTTCAAGAAGGTTCTATATATAACCTTATACAAGGTTCTGCTATATAGAAGCACAGAACTTTTCTCCATCAATCCGAAGAACCGTTTCACCATGCAAAGAACCATTAAGCATAAAATGGTTCTCTGAATGTTCATGGTTCTAAATGAAACCTACTCTTTATCTTTTTTAAGAGAGAGCTGGAGTGTTCGTACGGGGTAACGGCAGGTGAGGTTTTCGTCCGACGGCGCTGAAATGTGAAATGATATATGACTTCCTCTGTTTCGGACACAGACTCTCGTTTGATCTGTTTCCAATGTAAATGTCCTGCATTATTACAGCTTCACTACAGAACCACGCTCTCTTATATACGTTATACAGGTTCAGACTGTAACACACGTCTGCACACACCTCGGTATACATGAATGTTTACATTAGCGATATGAGCATTTATGCTTTAAAGGCTTAATCAAACACGGCAGCTAAACATTTATTATAAACAAATTCCTCCCCTGAGACGCCACGTGTGCAGCGCGGTGTGTTTACTGACCGGCTCGCACATTAAATCCGATCTCAGCAGCTCCAGCCTTTAAACAGCTCCGATATTCAGAGCTCAGCTATTTAAACAATGCAATAACTCAAAAGGTGTGTACAATTTGGAGAGGAAGGAGACAAAATAATGGAAACAGAACACAGCAGGAGTGTATCAGTGGAGCTGGGCTGCATTCGCGTGCTTTAAAGCGATAGTTCAGAAAAGAAACTCGTACTTAGAACGTGAATGTTTTTAAACGATAAACTTTATCTATTTGTTGTCATTTCTTGTTGCAAAATTGCTATGAAAGGCTGTTCGATCAGCAACATTTGGTCATTGATTTTCAAATAATGCTGTTTGCTATCCGGTGTCAACCAGAGGAGAGTGGGTTTCCCCTTTTGAGTCTTGGTTCTTCCTCTCGCTCTTCCTTGCCACTGTCACCATTGGCGACACTCATGGGGGCTCAGACCCAGAATTTTCTGTAAAGCTGCTTTGTGACAACACCTGTTGTAAAAAAGCGCTACATAGATAAACTTTGACTTTGAAATATGAGGCATCCTAGATATACAGGGTGATCCAAAAAGATTCATCCGATTTCAAAGCGCCGTATTTTTACAACCGTGAGGCACCGAGGAACCAATCACAATCCAATTGAAAGAGGGGGTCATAGAGTTTCTGTCAGTGGAAGACGGCTCCTTCAGTCTGAGAGGAGATGAGACCCCTGAGCAGAAAGTGTTCTGCGTTCTCCACTTCAATAAGAGTGAATCCGTCATAACTGTGCAGTGTGATTTTCGTGGGCAGTGAAGCTCCAACAGCTCAGAGCGTTCGGCGTTGGTTCCACAACACTGGATGATCTCCGAAATCGCACTGAAAGAGCCGTGAGTGCAGCGACACCGACATGCTCAATCCAGTATGGGATGAGTTTGACTATGGCGTTGATGATGTCGATACAGCTGGAGGAGGTTCAGACTGAGACCTTGTACAATTACATAATAAACTTTATGCATACAACTTTATGAAAACAATGATTGAAATTCTCTATCTCTCTCTCGGATGCTCTCAGATTCTTTATCCTCTAAATGGGAGTTATTTGACCATCGGTTACTGAAACTGAGCCTAATATTTTTATCTTTGTCACTTCAACACTAGTCATTCGAATTTATGCTCTTGGATACGAGTCTTTATCCTCTAAACAGGTGTTTTTAATCATTGGTTAGCTGAAACCGAGTGTGTGCTGCAGTGAGAGGCACCGTACACTCACGTTAGCTTAGCCTAGCAGGCTACAGCTTAAATAGCTACAGAACAGGTTTGATTTCGGCTTTCTGTGATTCAGCCGAATCAGCCGAATTTGTTCTTGCTGTTATGAGCACCAGTCGAATCGAACCTGTACTGGGCTGTTTGGATCTCTTTAGCTAAGCTAAGTTAGCTAGCAGACTGAAGCCACCTAGCATTAGCTTAGCTAGGAAGCCACAGAACAGGTTTAATTTCGTTCTGTGGCCCCGAGCATGATCAGCTAACCATGCCAAAGCCCGGTCAGTGTGAGAAATCCACTGGAACGGTCCCCCTCCGTGCTCAGAACCGCTCGGCCCTGCGTTGGAAAACAGGCCTAACAGAACTCCATCTCTCCGATATCTAATAACGCCCCCCACCGTCAACGTCACCACTTAAAACATTCCCTCTTATTGTGGTTCATACTTTCACTCTCACACACACACACACACACACACGCACATGCACACACACACGCACACGCACACACACACACACACACACACACACGCGCACGCACACACACACGCACACGCACACACACGCAGACACATAAAACACAAGCTGTTTCTGTGAATTGTGGGGACATTACACAGACTTAGACTCATTTCCTGGAGACTTACACAAACCTTAACCATAACTACTGCTAACCTTGACCTTAAAATTTGTGGTCCCCACAAGGAATAAAGGTCCCATTGTATAAAAAGTGTAAAAACAGGTTTTCGTCCCCACAATGTGGCATTAAAGCTGGTACACAAACACACACACTCAGACACACCCTGCTGTAAGGTGGGTAAAACTCTCACCATGGCGATGAAGCGGCCGATGAAGCGGAAGTAGGTCAGGTGATCGGGGTTGATGGAGGAGGCAGGGTTTATCTGCAGGCAGTAGTTGTTTTTGCCAGCGTATTCAAACAGACAGTACATGGGGTTCAGGACCTCATGAGACAGCAGGAAGAACCACTCTCTGTGGGACGAGAGACAGAGACAGAGAGAGAGAGAGAGAGATACAGAGAGACAGAGAGAGAAAGAGAGAGAGACAGAGATACAGTGAAAAACATCAGATTTGATATCTCAAACTGATACCTGATTGAAAACACATTCAAAGGTTTGGAATCACTTGCCACTGTTATTGAATAATAATTTTCAGTAGAGAACAGTAAAGATTGAAGCAACAAACTGACGGTTTATTTACAACTTATTTAACTGTTATCATCTATTTATAGTCATTTACTGTCAAAACATCTTTTGAGTAGCTGCAAAATTTGCAAAATTCAGCAAAATTCATTAATTTTGAATGTGAGGCATCCTAAATGCTGTTAATTCTCAATTTTTCAATCTCAATCTGATCTCAATCATCAGAAATAAAGATTCTCTGCAGATAAATTTGTGTTCATCAGGGGATAAACGATGTAAATATACCCTCAAAAGGTCCAACAGTGGTTTTAAGGTCTGATTGTGAACCTTAAATAAGTTTTTCCAGGTGAAAAGTTCGTTTTTGTACCTTTTCATAACTGAATGTTTTAAAACAGAACAGTAAAATAAAATGTATATGGTTCTATATAGCACCAAAAAGGGTTCTATTGTAACAAGCTTGACATCATAACAACAGCTATTTTTGGCGCTCTATAGAATGCTTTTCAAAAAGGTTCCGTATAGAACCTTATACAACACATTCTCCATCAATTTTAAGAACAACTTTACTATGCAAAGAACCATTTAAGCATGAAATTGTTCTTTAGGCGTTCATAGGTCTATACAGAACCTTTGTCTATCAGTGTAGGTTATTTTTGTTTACAGTTTCATTTGCTGAATTATTTGACTCAGTTTTAAGTTGTAGTTCTGTTTTTGTTTACATTTACGATCCAGGGTGATTTTCAAGACTGAAGATTTACATCTTTGTGAAATTGTCTTCAGTAAAGAACCCCTGAAGAACTAGCTTTTTTAAGAGTGTAGAATATCATATCATCATATTACAGTAATTTCATTAATATATCTGCAACAAAATCGGTTTTATATCGTTTAAGGCACTGATTCTGAACGTTTGAGCAGTGATGTATCTGCTGAACTCCAGAAGAGCAGAAAGTTTAGGTGACGCTGAGTTACTGCATTACAACACCTGCACTTTATTCATTTTACTGCATTTGTAACTCTGCCTGAATAAAAGCTATATTTCTCTGTAATGCTGATCCAAATACATACAAAAAGGTGGTTCTTCAAGGGTTCTTTAGCAAAGATATTCACCAATGGCCTCATTTGTCAGTATCTTCCTAAGTCTGTTCTTAAGTGTGTTCTTGAGAAAGGTCCTAAGGAAAAGTCTCTGTCAGATTCATGTCGTGTTCTTAAAGTGCAGAACTGTTCTACCTTTGTGCTCTTGAGTGTGTGTAGATTCTGTTCTTACCTAAGAACAAATCCCACATAGATGTCAGAATCTTCATAAAAACTGCGTAAGTGGGTTTTAAGAAGAAATTACTTCTTAAGAACGGTTGGTGAATGAGGCCCAGTGGTTCTATATAGAACCATGAGCACACAAAGAACGATTTGCATGATTATATGGTTCTTTGCATGGTGAAATGGCTCTTTAGATTGATGGAGAACAGTTCTATAGAGAACCTTTTTGAAAAGGGTTCTATATAGCACCAAAAGGGTTCTGCTATTGTTACAAGTTTGACTTTGTAACAATAGAAGAACCCTTTCTGGTGCTATATAGAATCTAGAGGTGGGCGATATGGCAAAAATGTAGTATCGTGATACATCAAGAAATTTTAACAATACTCGATGTGTCATATTTATTTTTTCAGACAGAGCTACATTTAAAAAATATTATCAAAACTGTGAACACAGTGATTTTTATTCAGCATTTGTCACTAAATCCAGTTAAACTGACTAATTTTACCCTCTTTATAATGAAACATGCAGCTGGTCAGTTTCTACAAGCACTGACGATAAACAGGATATGATCAGAAAAGCAGACTGTACTGTATTGTGACATAATTTATCATGATAACGTCATATTAATATTGTCATATCGCCCAGCCCTACAAGAAGCCTTTAAACACATTCTGCATCAATCCAAAGAACCTTTTCACCATACAAAGAACAGTTAAGCATGAAAATGTGTCTGAGTGTTTATAGTTCTATATAGAACCATTTGTCTTTACTAAAGAACCCTTAAAGAACCTTTTTTAAGAGTGTACATCCTAATTTATAAATGTAAATTTATGTACAATCATTTGCAAAAGTTTGATTTCATGTTGTTGATTTTCTAAGTGTACATAAATGAACTTCTGCACATTTTAATACACAGTTACTGATTGTTTGCTGAATTTAACACATTGGGAAAAGAATAAAACCTAAAATGCAGCCTGTGCAAAAGTTATAGCACAGTTTATACTTCACATTTTATTTTTTCCCAATGTTAAACAACAAAACATGTCAACTTTTGCACACGACTGTACAAGGAAAATTCCTGTATCAGTGAACGCACACATTCCGTCACACACTCAACAAGATAATATGTGATTTATTTCATGTTTTTATTCAACACATGCCTTGTTTGAATATCAGATTATGCGGCTGAGCGCTAAGCTGAGAGCAGATATCCGTCATTTCGAATAATCCCCAGCCCATCCCTATTAAAAACACTCACTGTGTTGACTCATTGGAAAAGTACAAGCTTTTTTGGCCTGTAGTGTTTGGAGCTGAAACAAAAAAGGCCGTGGAGGAGCCGGCAGGAGGAAAGAGGCGACAGCCTGATGGATCTGATGGATTTAATGGATTAAATAGATTTCATGGATCTGAGGTTGAGTAAGGACCAAGAAGGATTAAGGAAATTAGACGCACCCTGTTGTTACATGTGCTGAACAAATAAACCGTGGAAAGGAAAACAGAAAAACCTGAAATAATAACAATCAGAATGGGTCGAGCTTATTCAAGCAAACAGAAATATGACAGAGTCAAAGGCCGGTGATTGGTGGGTGTGTAAACATCAAATATGGACATAAAATAAAGAAAGTCCTCAGCCAATAAAGCAGGACCTGTTCTACATAATAGACACAAATGAACAAAGACATATTGTTCTGTGTTGTATAAAGGATGATTAATGGAGAACCTGGTCTTGTGTGCAGAGAACTGGACATATGTTAATACAAACACACGCACAACCTGCCTCTGACTCAGCGTCTGATCTGAAGTATTGGATAAAAATTAAAAACACAAATTTTTGATCAGATTCAGTTTAATGAACACAGGCTGATATTCTTCAAAGTGGGCTGCAGACATGAAAAGGTCAAATGAAGGAATAAAGGAACAAAAACATGTAATACGAATTAACCCCTTAAACTCTGAGGGTCAGCATGTGGACAAACACATCAGTTCCTCACTCACCTACAGATCATATGCATCAGATTCTTAGCTGATACTGAATAATCCATATAGATACTGAATAATTTGTATTTGTGTGCAATTCGTATTGGTTACTGAAAATTAATATATATATAATATATAATTAATAGCAGATAGTAAACAAATTAATTGTAGTTACAGAATAATTTACAGTAGCTACTATTTAAACCACAGAAGTTACTGAATAATTAATTACCGAACAATTCACAGCAGATACTGATTAATTCACATTGAATTAACTGTGACAGAATAATTCATAATAGATAATCATTTATAAGAGTTAGTTACTTCATAATATATACTGAATAATCTGTAATAGATGCACAAACATTCATAGTAGCTACTGAATACGTCATAGTAGATACTGAATAATTGATAGTAATGAATGAATAATTCATGGTAGTAACTGAAGTCTGAATATTTACTAACTGAGCAGTGAGGCTGTAGTTTGAGGGGTTAACTCTGCTCTACACAGGATCTTCAGACACCATCCAGACACACCGACACACACAGACACACCGACACACAGACACATGATGAAACGCAGCACATGTAATGAAGGAAGCCCAAAGGACCCACCACCAGGCCCCTGACCTTTTGACCTTTCCCCCCGACCCCAAAGTTTTCGGGTGATGGGAGTGGGGAGGGCAGGGTGGTCACGCCGGGGGCAGCGCAGACACCTCCAGGCATCCCGTCCGTGGTTCTACCCTGTGGTAGAACAGCATGACCTAACCTACCATAGGGTAAAACCACTGGCGCGACACCAGAGACACGGACACACACAAACACACACCAGCAGGACGGATCGGGGACCACCACCAGGGAGAGGAGCGCACGGAGGAACCCAAAAAGAACACCACACACCAGGCCGTATGATACTGACAAAGACAGGGGCACAAACACACATGCTAACGCTAGTGGTAATGCTAACATTAGCATTAGGGGGCACTTGCCTGGCGATGCCGCCGTAGTCCAGCCCCTCCTCCCCCCTCATGATGATGTAGAGCCTCCGGCGCAGGTCATATGGCTTCATGTTCATAATCTGGGAAGACAACACACACATTACAAACCATTAGAAAACTTCAAAATTCCATTTATTTTGTCTTTTTTTTAATTATTTTTACACAATTTGAAAATATCAGCTGCACTTTACACTGTGTGAACATTTCCTGAGGAACGAGATCGGCAGAAATTTTTCAAAGCAAAAAGCTTTTTGAAGTTACATGAAGAGATGTGCAGTAACATAATTTCCTAAAGTTATGTTTGCTTATAACAGCGACAATATGTATGCAATAGTGTTCGAAATCGCTTACGATTTCAGCATTTCCTGTTATTTTATACAAAATAACTGAACCAGAGTAGTTTTAGATGTTTTAGTCAACAATTTCAAGTATTTTGTTTTTTTAGCATTGAGATGCGATTATTTTTAAATAACTTTTAAAATATAATGTATTATTAGTATCAATTTTTAATTTCATTTTAGAACCATCTACAGCTCTGTGCTGGACAAACCTACATTTTAATTACTCATTTATATATATGAATTATTTATGTTATACGCTTATCTGCCACCACACACTGGTTCTGTGTCACTGAAAATTTATTTCAAACTTATGAACTTGTAAGTTCCTTTATAATGACCAAACTTGAATATGGAATCTCCGCAGGTTTTGATGTGCAATTTCTATTTATTTGCTGAGTTTAACAAATTAGAAAACTATGAAATATAAAATATAAAAGCCCACATTTAACGTTTTATTTTTTCCAGTGTATTAAATTCAGCAAATAAACAGTAACTGTGCATTAAAATGCGCAGGAGTGTGTCTCCGTAGAGTACGTGTTAACTTATTCACACTTAGAAAATCGATAACAACATGGAACTTGATCAGGGGTGCACAAACTTGTGTGTATCTCCTCACCTGCTGAAAGGAGTCCTCAAACAGAGTTTGTCTCGACACTGAGATCTTCACATGGCTGGGCAGAGCGTTGGACTGCAAAAGAGAGAGAATTTAAACCACACAGTCGTTCAAATCTCACCATAAAGGACATCTGTAAAGAGACTGGCTGCACTTACATGGCACAAGAAACGGAACTGATGATATTTCCATCTGAAGCTGCGGTCATACGCGCCTGGAGACCCACCCTGCCGTGAGCTAGAGAGAGAGAGACAGAGAGAGATAATCAGAGAGCTTACCAGAACTAATTCCAGCCTCCATTCATATTCAGCCTGACCTGAGAAACACACAGAGTTGATGTGCACCTGCATCTAGGGGCCTAAAAGCTGAGTATGGAGCTGAGATGCGCAGTGAGGACCACAGTGGGTCACCAAGGGTCCCAGCATGGAGCTGCACAGTGAGGACAGCAATGGGTAAGTATGGGCCTCAGCATGGAGCTGCACAGCTAGGACCACAATGGGTCTGTATGGGCACCAGATGTAAAGTGAGGACCACAGTGTGTCAGTATGACCACAGTAGGTGTAAGTGGACCCCAGTATGGAGCTATGCAGTGAGAACCACAGTGGGTCAACGCAGTCCCCAGCATGGAGGTGCACAGTGACAATCTCAGTGAATCAGTATGGACCAAAGCATGGATCTGTGAAGTAGGGACCATGTGCCCCAGCATGCAGATGCAAAGTGAGGACTAATAAAGCAGAACATGGACCAAAGCATGGAACTGTGCAGTGAAGACCACAGTGGGTCAATGGAAGTGCACGGTGAGAATCTTGGTGGGTCAGCATGGGCCCCAGCATGGAGCTATGCAGTGAGGACTACATCATTGTATCATTGTAGGCCTTAGCATGGAAGTGCGAGGCAAGGACCACAGTGGGTCAGTATGGGTTCCTGCATGAAGGTTCCAAGTGATGACCACAGATGGTGAGCATGGACCAATGCAAGGAACTACACCGTGAGGACTACAATGGGTCAATATGCGACCCACTGTTGTCCTCATGGTGACGGTGAAGACCACAGTATAGAATCATGAACTCTAGCATGGACTTGTTTAGTAGAAAGATCACAATGGGTCAATGTAGTATCCAGCAAAGAACTGCTCAGTGAAGATCCACAATGGTTCGGTTTGGGACCCAGCATGGGGCTGCAAAACGAGAACCAACATGGATCAACACGGGCTCTAGGATAGAGGAGCAAAGTGAAGACCACAGTGGGTGGGCATAGACCCAGGCATGGAACAATGCAGTGAGGACCACAGTGGGTCAGTGTAGTCCACAGCATGGAGATGCACATTTAGGATCACAGTGGGTCAGTGTGGGCCTGACTAGGGAGTCAAAAAGTGAGGATCACAGTTTGTGAATGTGGGTCCTGGCAAGGAGGGGTGGAATGAGGACCACAGTACGTCAATACAGTCCCCAGCATGGAGGTGCAGGAGTTGTGTCAGTATGGACTCCTGCCTAAAAGTGCACAATAATGACTACCATGGAACAGTGTGGGCCCCAGAATGGAGACACACAGTGAGGACCATAGTAGTCAGTATGGGCCCCAGTATGGAGCAGCACAGTGAGGACCACAGTGGGTCAATATGGGACCCAGTACAGAAATGCACAGTGGGGACAATAATGGTTTTGTATGGGTCCCAGTATGGAGCTGCACAGTGAGGACAATAATGGTTTCGTATTGGCCCCGGTATGGACCTGCACAGTGAGAACCCTAGTGGGTCGGTATGGGCCCCAGTATGGAGCAGCACAGTGAGGACAACAGTGGGTCAGTATGGGTCCCAGTATGGAGCTGCACAGTAAGGACAACAGTGGGTCAGTATGGGCCCCAGTATGGAGCAGCACAGTGAGGACAATAGTGGGTCAGTATGGGCCCCAGTATGGAGCAGCACAGTGAGGACAACAATGGTTTCATATGGGCCCCAGTGTGGAGCTGCACAGTGAGGACAGCACTGATTTCGTATGGGCCCCAGTATGGAAGTACACAGTGAGGACCCCAGTGGGCAAGTATGGGCCCAGCATGAAGGTGCAAAATAAGGACCGCGGTGGGTCAGCATGGACTGCAGCATGGAACTGTGCAGTAAGGACCACAGCCAGTGCAAAATATGTGCCTCCTCAGCAGTGGGCCAGGAAAGAGGAAGTGGGCAGGGGAAAGAGAGAGAGAGAGAAAGAGAGAAAGAAAGCGAGAGAGAGAAAGAGAGAGATACAGCTTGACTTTTTCATTCAAAGTCAGTGTGTGGAATTTGAGCCCACATACGCTGGCAGTGTGTATTTACCCTGATTCGAAGCCTGGCCGTGGGTCTTTGAAGGTGGTGGTGCGTGAATTGTGATCTACGAAATATCGCACGCCCTCAGCGGTGTACTTCATCTCCCAGCCAGGGGGCAGCGGCGGCTCCTGGATCATCCTGCAACAGACACAGATCAGTGTGAATGTGTGTGGTGCAGGAGAACTGGGACGTTTAAACTGTGGAACTCGTTATCTTTCACCATTAGGCACTGAAGTTATTTCAAGAAGCATCTCAAAACACATTTTAATAAAATTGCAAACAAAGTTACTACTATTATCATCATTATTATTATTATTATTATTAATGCAGACTTTTATGTTCAGTTTGTTCTGTCCACTGTAGGGTTTTTGAGATTCATTTTGCCTGTTTTTCAAACATAAAACTAAGAAACTATTAAGAATTTGCACCAATAACCTCACAAGTCACTCTGAATACAGGAGCTGAATCAAATTTCACCACCTTTACATTCAGTTATTTTCCTTCGATTTAATGCTATGGGTCTGAAAGCAGGTGTAGCTGTCAAGAAGCCCTCGTTAAGAAATGGAAACAGACATAAAAGAAGAAGAGCATTTGCACTACACTGCAAAAAAGTCTTTTGTCAAGTGAAATGATTTTAAATCCAGTCAATATGTCTAATATCTATCTGAAAATATCTGTCAATATAGTGAGACAATTTTACTTAATAAATTTACTTAAAACAAGCAAAAATGTCTAGAAATATGTAAATTAATCTTAAATTAAGCTGACAACAATCTCAAAAGGAGAAATATTAGATTTATTGAGTATATTAAAGATAATTTTACCCGACAAGATACTTTTTTTGCAGTGCAGAACGCCCAACCTGCACATCTGAGATGTAAATAAGGTTTTATGTACTGATGGGTCTAAATTTACAGTTGAGATTACTTGGATGGTGAGAAGCAGAAAATGTTAAAGGGGAGCTGTTAGGCTTTTCTGTTTTTCTCTTTCCTTTAGTGTGTTGTATCTTTTTGTGGATGTAAACATCCTGCAGAGTCCCAGAGCTCAGCGTTCCCTCCAGAACCCACTTTTCTCAGCTGCCTGAAATGCCTTGTTGGAATTCCAGCACTTTTGTTACAGGATGACATCATCTCGTAACACAGTTCTTACTGCCTGCCTACCGGCGAGCTCCGCCCCCTCACACAGCGCACAGCGGCTACTGGAGGAGGAAGAGTGTGTTCAGTGCTGTAGCGTGTGGAGAAACGCTGACCGGACTTTCAGGATCCACTCTGGATCAAACTGAAAGAACCGACGCTGCTGGAGAAACAGCCACAGCGGAGTTACAGCTGCTCAGGAGAGAAGGGTCTGTCTGCAGAACGCAGGACAGGGGCGGAACCTGGAGGGGCACCGCTCTGGTGGCTGACCAATCAGAACAGAGTGAGCGAGATGACCAATCAAAGCACACTGGGCTTATCGGGAGGCGGGGCTTAAAGACACAGGAGCTCTAACAGAGCGTTTCAGACAGAGGGTGAATAGAGATGAACAGTATGAGGAAATAATGTGTTTGGAACACTGAAGCTGTAAATCTATTACAGTAGAGCAAAAATAACATTATGAACACTGAAAATGAACAGAATAGCCCCCCTTTAAACCAACTGTGTGTCTGCAGATTTCTCTGAGAAATTGAAAGTGAGTCTCCTGAAAACAACGGAAGCTGGAATAAAGGTAAAGAGTGACACACTGAACACTCAAAACAGCTAAAATTAGATTTAGTTGTTGAGGTTTCTGGGTAATTTTCTGTTAAATGTGTTTTCTGATGCTGAAAAATATCTTTACTGGAAATGAAATAAATGGGGGTCTGTGACTTTTGCACAGTGCTGTATCTGAGCTCCATCTGCTGCCTCTACAGGAGCTCAACACACAAACCCACCAATCAGAGACTCATCAGAGGGGGCGGAGCGCGCACACACACACACACACACACACACACACACACACACACACACTCCTACCCTTGGGTTCGAGGGTCCTCCCACTGCGTGGTCCGCGTGTTGTGGTTGACGAAGTAAACGCGCCCATTGTCCTGACGCTTTTCTGTAAAACAGACAGAGAGATCACTGCAGCTCTGACGTCTGGGAAAGTAAACGATGCTGAGCAAGCGAGCGAATAAGTGAGCGGAGGAGGAGGAGCGGAGACACAGTGTGAAGGTGTAAGAAGAGCACTGTGTAGAGGAGGTGAAGATGGAGTGAAGGTCTCAGCACTGACCGAAAAGTGACGAGTCAGTGTGGCATTTCACTGCAGCCTCCAAAATACCCCACCGACCAGAGAGAGAGAGAGAGAGAGAGGGAGGCTATAATTTTGGCTACCAGGGACTAAACAAACATTTGACCCCGTTTAGAATAATATAACCAACTCAAAGGGAGAGAGAAAGAGAGAGAGAGAAAAAAAGAGAGAGAACAGCAGACAGTGAAAGAGAGAGAGAGATACATACTAAAAGAGAGTTAGAGAGAGAAAAAAGAAATACAGAGAAACAAGACAAAATAAAGAGCGAGAGGGGAAAAAGAGAGAGAGCGAGAGAGAGAGGAACATAAAACAAAGACAGACTGAAAGAAAGAAACAAAGAAAGAAAGAAACAAAGGCTATAATTTGGGCTACTAAAGACTAAATAAATGCTTGAAAGTGAGTGTGTGAGAAAGAGAGAGAAAGAGAGAGAGGAGAAGAAAAGAACAGAAAGAGAGAAAGACAAGAAGAGAAGAGAACGGAGAGAGGCAGGAGAAAAGAAAGGAGACAAGAAAAGAGAAGAGAATAGCAGGAGAAAAGATAAAAAAGAGACACAAAAAGAGAAGAAGAGAAGAGACAAGAGAAAAGAAAAAAAGAAGAGAGAGAAAAGATAAGAAAAAGAGAGAGATAAAAAAGAGGCGCAAAAAGAAGAAAACAAAGACAAGACAAGAGTGACACAAGAGAACAAAGAGAAGAGAAGAGGAGAGATGAGATGAGAACTGAAGAGAAGAGAAATGAAATGAAGAGAACTGAAAAGAGAAGAGGAGAGAATTGAAGAGGAGAGACAAGAGAAGAGAAGAGAAAAGAACTGAAGAGAAGAAAAGAAGAAAGAGAAATGAAGAGAAGAGACAAGAAGAGAACTGAAGAGAGGAGAAGAGAACTGAAGAGATGAAAAGAGAACTGAAGAGAAGAGAGGAGAAGAGAACAGAGAAAAAGAGAAGAGGAGAGAACAGAGAAGAAGAGAAGAGAAGAGGCGAGAAGAGAACAGAGAAGAAGAGAAGAGAAGAGGAGAGAAGAGAAGAGGAGAGAAGAGAAGAGAAGAGAAGAGAAGAGAAGAGAAGAGAAGAGAAGAGAAGAGAATGAGAGATACAGACAGACTGAGAGAGCCTCTGAGTGAGAGAGTGTAAAGTTGTATTTGCTGATTTTTAACTCTAATTTGGTCTGTTTAAACAGTCCTGACCAGTCCTGAGTATTTTTTGTGTTTTCTGACCAGAGCTGGTGCCCTGTCTGCACCACACACTCCTGTCTCTACACCACACACTCCCTCTTTCCATATTCACCCCCGCACTCCCCACACACACACCCTCCTACAACCCCCCCTTCGCCATACTGTTCTCATTAGCGAGCATGTGTGGTGTGTGCAGTGCTGGAACAGTAGTCCTTACATTACAGCCGCTACCAACCTTAAACACCCCCCCACACCCCTACACCACCCCCTCTTCCCCTCCTCCCCCTACACACCCTATACACCCCCCCACCTACACACACAGCCTCTCTGTTTAAGTTACAGCTCAGAAAAACCGATCTGTTAGAGGTCAGTGTTACCGAACAATATCCAAACACACACAGAACCACAGAACCTACATCACTTGAACCGAGTTAGTCTTTATTAAAGAGAGAGAGTTTATTTATAATAAGGTCAAGCGGCCGTGCTGGTCACCTCTGAAGCTGTGAGAAGATGTATCAAATCTCTCTCTCTCTCCTTCTCTCTCTATCTGTCTCTCTCTCTCTCTCCTAAGATCAGGGAGCAGTTTCAGACAGAACGCGGTGCTCCAGTCTGGGCGTTGTTCAGCATTGAAATGAAGAATTTCCGTTATAAAATAGACCAATAAAGAATAACTGGCTGAAGAGCAGAAGTTTTCTGACTGGAAGTGATGAAAACGGAGAACATCAGAGCTTCACTCAGCTTGGAGAACTTCAGCTCCCTGACACTGACGCACTGCGCTAACGGGGCGGAACAATACATCATACGAACATTTCACGATACAGAACAACCTAGAGCTGCGCGATAGGGCAAACATATAATATCGCGATACTTCGAGACATTTTCATGATACACGAACAGGTCTAGAAAGCACCTTTTTGTAAAGGATTCTATATAGCACCAAAAGGGTTCTACTATTGTTACAAGCTTGACATCGTACCAATAAAAGAACCCTTTCTGGTGCTATATAGAACCTAGAGGTGGGCGATATGGCAAAAATATAATATTGCGATACTTCAATTAATATTCACGATACACGACATGTTGTGATATTTATCTTTTCAGACGTCTGATCAGCTGGAATAGAGAAAAAAGATCCAGCAGACCTACATTTAAAAAATACCATCAAAAACTGATTTTATTCAGTATTTGTCACTAAATTCAGTTAAACTGACTAATTTTACTCTCTTTACAATGAAACATGCAGCTGGTCAGTTGCTGACGATACACACAATATGATCAGAAAACCATATCGTACTGTGACATAACTTATCTTGATAACGATATATATTGCCATATCGCCCAGCCCTAGAACAGACACACTCTACATAAACAGTTACCAAAACAGAACCACAGCGTCTACAGAGAACCAACTTTATTTCATTTTCTTAGAAGACAAATGAACAATAGAATCAATGAATCATGAATATTAATAATATGAATCATAATATGAATACAACTAAACATTAACATGCATATTGTAACGTCTCTAACAGCCGTGTGTATTACATACACTCTCAAAGGTTCTTCAAGAGTTCTTCAGTGAGGAGTATACTTCTATATAGAACCAAGTGCAGGCTTAAATGGTTCTTTGCATGGTGAAATGGTTTTTCTGATTGATGGAGAATGTGATGGACCATAAAGATGTTCTGCTACTGTTACGAAGCAATAGAAAGACCCTTTCTGGTGCCATACAGAACCCTTTTCAAAAATGTTCTGCATAGAACCATATACAACACGTTCTCCAACAATCTGAAGAATGATTTCACCATGCTGACAACCATTTAAGCATGAAAAGTGCTCTTTGAGTGTTCATGGTTCTATACAGAACCACTGTCTTTACTAAAGAACCCTTGAAGAACCATGTTTTTAACAGTGTACAGCACATATAATGCACAGCTGATGGAGTGAGAGTGTGTTTGAGAGGTTTGGAAGATTTTTATCTCTGTACACGATCAGGTTATCACAGTGAATGATCTGTGCTGCAGGTTAACGAGGTAAATGAGGTGAGGCAGGTGAGGCAGCTGAGGCAGTGGAGGCAGGGGAGGCAATCACTCTGTATCTGAACACCTGAACCTCAATATCACAGTGGAGCATCACTGTGATAAACAGCCGGCTGCGCTTTACTATTAATTAATTGTCTAAAATTGTTTAAATGCTGGTTAAAGAGTAGATAATGTAATGTAATCTGCGGCTCTGACTGACAGTCAGTCTGTGAATGTGTTAATGAGGTTAGAGTGTAATTATAAATCATTTTTGGCTGAATGATGCGTCACCTAGTGATGCGAGTCTGAGACAGCGGTGACTTACCCCATCCTGGAGGAAGAGCACCCAGAGGATCATTCTCAACAGGAGCTCCAGAGGACTGCAGAGAGAGAGAGAGAGAGAGAGAGAGAGAGAGAGACAGAGAGAGAGAGAGAGAGAGAGGAGAGAGGACAGAGAGAGAGAGAGAGAAAGAGAGACAGAGAGAAAGAGAGCAAGCAAGAATGAACAAGAGAGAGTGAAGAGATGGAAAAAAAAGAGCGAGAGAGGGAAGAAATGAAGAAAAGAGAGCGGAGATGAAGAAAGCAAGAGAAAAGATAAAAAAGAGAGAAGCGGAAAAGAGAGAGTGAACAAGAGAGTGAAGAGATGGAGAAAAAGAGAAAAGAGAGTGAAAGATAGAGAGAGTGTGAAGAGATTTAAAGAAGAGCGAGGGAAGAAATGAAGAAAAGAGAGCAGATATGAAGAAAAAGAGAACAGATGGAGAAAAAGACAGAAAAGAGAGAGCAAAGAGAAGCGGAAGAGAGAGTGAACAAAAGAGTGTGAAGAGATGGAAAAGAGAGAGGGTGAGCAGAGGTGGAGGAAAAAAGACAGCAAGATAGAGAGCAAAATGAAAAGAGTGAAGAAAGAGATGCAGAAAAAACAGAGAGAAAGAAAAAGGAGAGAGAGGCAGAGAGCAAGGACAGAGAGAGAGAGAGAGAGCAGAGAAAGAGAGAGAACAAGGAGAAAGAGAGACAGCAAAGGAAAAGTGGAGGATGGAGGAAAAGTGAGAGAACAAAGAAAAAAAAAGAAAAAGAGAGTGAGCAAAGAGATGGAGAAAAAGGAGAGAGAGAGAGAGAGAGAGAAGAGATGCTCCGGTTAGAAAACTCTTCTTCTGTCTGAAAGTGTGTTTCTGGTTCTCCTGCGGTGATGCTGATGTTCTTCAGGTGGTTCTCAGAGCTCAGAGGCTGGACGCTGAACGGGCAGCGCAGCCGGGCCGAGTGGAGGAGCGGGCGAGCGGTCAGACGGCGGACTGTGCTGGACGGAGGAGTGTGTTGCTCCTGCTGCTGCTCGGGCACACTGACTCTGCTCCACACTCAGCCCGCGTATGCCTTCCAAAACCACACACACACACACACACTCACTCACGCTGGCGCTGGTGTTCCAGTGAGCTCACAGGCTCCACCCCCCCGTCTCGGCCTTCCTCACCGCGCTGTGAAAGCTGCAGGGAGGTGCGATGTCTGACTTACACTGAAGAGAACATTCATCCAGCACAAAAGCACCTTTATTCCACGCACACACACACATGAGCAGCGTCCACCCCGCCGGCCAGCTGTGTGTGTGTGGTGTGGGGGACACTTTTTTTTTCCTCTCGTGTGGAAAATTTGTATATTTGTGTGTGACAAAACGGCTCCTGTGAGCGAGCGAGGAAAGGCTGGTACACGGGAACTGCTTTCAGACGCAATTCTGATGTATGAAAACATAAAAAAGCCTGAAACATACGAACACAGCGCGCCTTCACCGCCCCCGCCGCGCTCACACACACCGCAGCCCGGCCCGCGGACCACCGGCCCTGAGTTTATAAAAGCACATTCACGTCCCCATCTGGAGCCAACATGGCTGCGACGCTTCAGCGGCTTTACGGGCAGAGGCTCCAGTGGCGCTTGGAACAAAATCGCGCTGGCCGTTCCGTCTGACGTCAGGACAAACGGGGAAAGGACGAATGGGGAGCCCTAAACATCTCAGACACATGAACCCACAATGAAGTTAGCAAGCGTTAATTATATATGAGTATATAAATATGTATAAGTACAACGCAGATTCTTACCTTCTTAAAAACTTGCGTTCAACTAAACATCTACTAACGTTTCTCTCTGCTGTTAGATTATAAAGAACAATTAACCTTTCTTTAATTTGCTTTAACTAGTCCCTTTAAATCAGGGGGTGCCAAAACATTCTGTCACCAAAGTGGAGTGGAGTGTTTGTGGTGGGCCGAGGGGCCAAAACGACAACATACAAATGTATAAAGGTAACATTACAGTTCAAAAACACTTCAAAAATACAATGTTTAAAGGGAATAAAGCCTCACAAGCTCATCTACACTTTGGGCAGCACTGATTTCAATGATCAAAATCCATTAAATTCAATTTAATTTAAGTAATACATTTATATTAGATTCAGCTTATCTGTCCCTTTAAATGATTAATATCTATTAGAATCAATTTCACTCATCAATTTCAATAATAAATATGTATTAAATTCAGCTTAACTCTCCTTTTAAATGTTAAATATCTATTAAATTCAATTTAACTTCTCAATTTAAACAATAAATATGTACTAAATTTAGCTTAATTCTCCCTTTAAATGACACATATCTAAATTCATTTTAACCTCTCAATTTAAGGAATAAATGTCCACTAAATGTAAAAATGTCCATCTTATCTCTTCCATTAAATGATACATAAATGATACATATCAAATTCACCTTAACTCTTCTTTCAAATTTCAGATACCTATTAAATTCACTTTAACTTCTCAATTTAAATGATGCATCTGTTGAATTCAGCTGAATTCTCCCTTTAAATGACAGGTATCTGTTTGATGTCTGTTAAATTAAGCTTAACATTCCTCCTTAAATGATAAATATCTATTAAATTCATTCTAATTTCTCCCATTATTAACGTCTCCCATTATTATCTCTCACTCTGACCCTAGTTTGTTAATAATTTGAGCATTTGTAGACGTTCTGTAGGAAACTACCCAAATAGAGAAGAACCTGGAAATCTATAGGAGAACTTTCACTTCAGTACTTCCTAATTTATAATGTTTGATTGAAGAGTTTATTTCTGGAGGGTCAGTTTTTAATAGTTATTAATACGCTGATAATCACACCCGGGACAGAAATGTCACTACTGAGGACGGACCCCCCCCACCACCTTTACTAAACCCCCAAACTAAGTGTGGCCCCAGGTTTCCTCTTTTCAGACCAAAATCAGACGCAGTTCTGAAAACAATCACACCGTTTATCAGCCGAGAGACTCCAAACTCGGCTCAGCTGGAATTCCAGCGGCCGCAGCTCAGACTCACACAGCGATAAACTCGGAGGAAAGAGTGCGTGTCACTCACTCACTCACTCCGCCGTCTGTCTATAGGACCGGCCCTCTCAGCTTCTATGACTAAAAAAGGTAGAAAAAATGAAATAAAAGCATGACATCATCCCCACTGCCGCTTCCTGCCCGGCTGCCCAGAGGCACACCGCCCTGCCAGCGAGGGAGAGAGAGGACGAAAAAGAGGAGAGGAGGGAGGGAAGACGAAAACCAACAACACAAAGGAACACTGAGAGAGAGAGAGAGAGAGAGAGAGAGAGAGAGAGAGAGAGAGAGAGAGAGAGGAGCTAAAGACATCATGGAGAAGTGTCTGATCGACCTATCAGACGTGATGTCTAATTAAACTCACTACCTATAATTACTAATTTAGTCATTAAGAGGTTCATTAAACTCAGGTCAAACTGTGTGATGTGAGTACAAAACTAAACAAAACATCTCAGGGACACATTTCTGCACAGATACCGGTCATATTATCTTGTCAATAATCAGATATCAAAGTACTCCAGTCAAAACTCTGGTGTTTTAGTCCAATTACAATATTGAAGTACCTTGTAAACTAAACTCTGAAAAACTGAACGAAAAAAGCTAAAAGAGATTTTAACTGTAAAATATAAAACACTGACAAACTGCAATGCAACTACAGGCTTACATGTAATGGCTAACTGTAACTAACTGTAATACATCACAGCTAACTGTAACTAACTGTAATACATCACAGCTAACTGTAACTAACTGTAATATATCACAGCTAACTGTAACTAACTGTAATGCGTAACAGTTAACTGTAACTAACTGTAATACATCACAGCTAACTGTAACTAACTGTAATGCGTAACAGTTAACTGCAGCTGTACTATGTAACGGCTAACTGTAACTAGCTGTAATAAATATTGGCTAAATGTAGCTGTAATATACAGTGGCCAATTGTAACTTGATGATGTGTGATTATATGATGGAAAACAGCAGGAGAGACATACAGAATCAGAGAGAGAGAGACAGAGAGAGAGAGAGAGAGAGAGAGAGAGACAGAGAGAGAGAGAGAGAGAGAGAGAGAGAGAGAGGAGCAAGCAAGAATGAACAAGAGAGAGTGAAGAGATGGAAAAAAGAGTAAGAGGGAAGAAATGAAGAAAAGAGAGCAGAGATGAAGAAAGAGTGTAGTGAGAGTGTAGTGAAAATGTAGAGAGGGTGTAGTGGGGTGTAGTGAGTAGTGGGGGTGTACTGAGGGTGTAGTGGGGGTATAGTGGGGGTGTAGTGGGGGTGTAGTGAGGGTGTAGTGGGTGTGTAGTGAGAATGTACTGAGGGTGTAGTGCAGGTGTAGAGGGGTGTAGTGGGGTGTTGTAGGGATGTAGCGAGGGTGTAGTGAGTAGTGGGGGTGTACTGAGGGTGTAGCGAGGGTGTAGTGAGGATGTACTGAGGGTGTAGAGGAGGTGTAGAGGGGTGTAGTGGGGGGGTGTAGTGGTGGTGGTGTGGGGGTGTAGTGAGGGTGTAGTGGGAGTGTAGAGAGGGTGTAGTGGGGTGTAGTGAGTAGTGGGGGTGTACTGAGGGTGTAGTGGGGGTATAGTGGGGGTGTAGCGAGGGTGTAGTGGGTGTGTAGTGAGAATGTACTGAGGGTGTAGTGCAGGTGTAGAGGGGTGTAGTGGGGTGTTGTAGGGATGTAGCGAGGGTGTAGTGAGTAGTGGGGGTGTACTGAGGGTGTAGCGAGGGTGTAGTGAGGATGTACTGAGGGTGTAGAGGAGGTGTAGAGGGGTGTAGTGGGGGGGTGTAGTGGTGGTGGTGTGGGGGTGTAGTGAGGGTGTAGTGGGAGTGTAGTGAGTAGTGGGGGTGTACTGTGTACTGTAGTTTGTGTGTAGTGAGTGTACTGAGGGTGTAGTACTGTACTGTGAGGGTGTAAAGGGGTGTAGTGGGGGTGTAACAAGGGTGTACTAAGGGGGTAGTTGGGGTGTAGTGGGGGGTGTAGTGGGGGTGGGTGGTGTAGGTGTAGATGTGTATTTTATACAGCAGTGAGTGTAGAGTTTTATGTGCAGAAAATTGTGTGAAATGGACAGAAGGAGAGAGAGAGAGAGAGAGAGAGAGAGAGAGAGAGAGAGTGCGTGTGTGTGTGTGTGTGTGTGAGAGTGTGTATGTGTGTGTGTGTGAGAGTGTGTATGTGTGTGTGTGTGTGTGAGAGTGTGTATGTGTGTGTGTGTGCGCGAGAGTGTGGGGATGGTGGGGGGGTTGTTGGATGGAAGGCCGGAAGCAGCAGTTAATGACTCTGGCACTGCGTCCAAACGCAAACGAGCGGCAATTACTACACAAACCGCTCTGTGTGTGAGAGAATCTGAGCACCTCGCCATTCAATTTCGTTTCAGCGTGCCGAGACTGGATAAAGCGATTTTCAATGCATGTTCATTTTACATTTCAACACTCTATGATGTTTATATAATAATACAAGCTATAGCTGTACATGCTCTGTAAAGGAACATTCCACCACATTTTTAAATTTCTGCAAAATTAAACAGTTAAGATGTAAACAGAGTGGTTCATATTGGTTCAGAGTGGTTTGGTGTGAAACGCTCTGTTCTAGATAAACTTATCGAGTCAGAACTGTTCACAGTGGTGGTGATAGGAACCAGACGTCCACCTCTAAAAGCTCCCTCACAGAAAGTTCCTACATGAAATGGTTATGAATTCACTGCCTGATGACTGAGACACTGTTTTAGGATAGTTTTGAGAACTTAAACTCCATTCATGGTGGAGGGATACATGCAGGGCGCTGTGAGGCAAAATAGACCCCAAAGAAAACTTATTATTTCAGATTTTCCACTATTTTCCATCATCAACATTCCTTATAAACTCAGATGACTCGTGTAGGTTCACTGGTGGTTCTGGATAGTAAATAAAATGTCTATATTTGTGTTGTAGTCATGGCGACCCCTGGTTCCTATCACCACCACTGTAAAGACCTCTGAACCATTTCACACCAAACCACTCTGAATCTCTCTGTTTACATCTCACACACTGAATCATGCAGACATGTTGAAAAAAAACAGTGGAATTTCCTTTTAACATGAATTAATTTCATGAAAATCTTTAATGGAAATCACATATTAGCAATACACTATATGGCCAAAAGTATGTGGACACCCCTCCTAATTAATAAGGTGTTTCAGCCACACCCATTACTAACAGGTGTATAAAATCAAGCACACAGCCTCGCAGTCTCAATAGACAAACACTGTCAGTAGAATGGGTCGTACCGCAGAGCTCAGTGACATGGTAAGTAAAATCGCCTGTCCTTTGTTGCGTCGCTCACTACAGAGTTCCAATCTGCCTCTGGAAGCAACATCAGCATGAGAACTGAGCATCAGGATCTTCATGAAATGGGTTTCCATGCCTGAGCAGCTACACACCAGCCGTTCACGTTTGTGGCAGACAGGTGACGGCAAACCGGATATTCCATTGCTTTTAATAGAGTCGTAACAGAAAATTCTGCCACCACCAGCAGCAACGCTCCACAGACCACAGGCGTGAGCGGAACGCTCCGTCAAGAGTTCAATTTTCCCAACTTCTGCAACTGTGGAATGAACTGGAATTAGATTTTTTTGGGAGCCATGGATGCCAAACGTCTCATTGTTGAGTTACAGACGAACTCAGTACCGTACAACACAAAATAAGAGTGCAGAGCGTCCTCCTGTCTTTCTCCACCTTAAATAAACAATGTACATTGCTAAAGCTCTGCTCTGGTAATCGTCCATTTTCGCTGGCACTGTGGTCACCATGGCAACATTCGTCCCACCATTGGCTGAATACCGCTATCGTTCAATGCAAACATGTGAACGCAGCATAAGATCACCATGCACAATGACTATAATCGTGATTATGACGTTTTTCAGAATCTTTGAGAAGAGAACCGTGATGCGTCTAAGACTGGATTACTGCCGTGTCTGCAGTGCAGAGCTGATCTGGTCAGCAGTGAGTGGGTGTGTGTTGTGTAGAATGTGCTCAGGCCGATGAAATGTTGCAGTCAGACGTGAGATTTCTGAGCCGTGTGACGGGGATGAACCTCGTGAGGGACATTTGTAGTCGATCAGCCAAGACATGCTCGGTGTCTGAGGCAGAGGTTCGCTACCCGACGGCGCCCGATAAAACCATGTACAACATCAAGCTCTAATGAATGTTTTTTATTTGCATAGTAGATTTTTATGGGGCCGCTGTCGGCTGGATCTTTCGGTTGGTGGATTAATACAGATTAGTCTAAAATACGACTCTTTAGGAATCATCTCCAAGTCTAATTAGGGATGTCTCAGTTTGTTTTATTTTGACCACTGAGCTGATTCAAGTTTTTAATATTGAGAATCAGACGATACTGATTCTAAAGTCCGATCCTCTATCTATTTATAGATAATACAGTGGAACAACTTAGGCAAGGCTACGCTCCTCGGCTAATTAATACAACAGTAAAATCGGTTCTTTTTATCGTGTGAATAATGTGACATTTTGGACTGTAATGTTTTGTTTTTCAGCCTACTTTTTCAAAATGACCATCTGATTGACTGAGTTAATGATTTATATAACAGTTACTTTAAAGGAGCAGCATGTAAGATGATGCAAGCTGTCGATTCATACTTCAAACAGAAACAGAAAGCTTTAAGTTATGGTGTCCATGCAATCACAAGAAACAAGGAAATACACGGTCCCACCTCCCTCTTCACTCCTCCGCCTCATTACCAGTCTAAAAGAAACGATGCAAGTTCAGCATCAAACTTCATCCCTTTACTCACGAGAGCCCCAGCGGTGGAGAGCAACGCCAAAGCTAACTCTTGTTTTGCTTCCGTTTATGTGAGTTCTGTTCTTTGCAGCTGAATGTAGTTTCTTCCCAGGAGTGGCCGGTGGTGGTGATAATGCTCGTTTGCCAAAAGCTTCAGCCATCGGTGTGTTCACTCAATGCTACAGTGACTCACTATCGCCTCTTGAGGTACAAAGTGGTATTTCAAGACAGGACAGGCTGAGGCTAACAGGTTAGCATGTTAACTTCAGCAGATATCTCTGCAACGTGATACATAGACATCTTTGACATAACATCAAAACTGTTATTGCCTCACATTCCGTTGATATTTGAAATGTTTTAAGCTAAAAACCTTAAAACTTCAGTGAAATATGCAGTTAAATCACTTCATTTCGTTACTATGTGCAGAGTATTGCACACTCTGAACTGATGAACTTTGGTTTCATAGGACTCTACGTGGGAAATAACCATCCCGTAAGTCGGTGAATTTGCTTCGATTCAACAGCAATAACAGCAGCTGCTCCCTTCTCTCACCTTCAAACGAACACAGGTCGGTTTTAAAGACAATCAAACGCATCTTTTTTCCTGAATGTGACGTGTTTCCAAGTGAAACAGGATGCTTGGGCGGGAAATATTTGCGGGCAGGACATGACCATTTAAGGGGTTAATATGTGGTTGGTTAATTTTCTAAATAACGAATAAACTAAAAACAAAACAGAAAGTTGGTCAATGCTGCAACAAACTGCACAATCACAATTTTTAACCAGAAAATATTTGAATAATTATGTGAACAATAATCATACAGTCCAAGCTTAGTCTATAAAACTGAGTCAGTACGCCATCTCTCTCAGAGCAGATAAACACAGTCCCTGCTGCTATCAGCTGTGGGTGAATTCTAAAACAGGCCGTCTGTCTGTCTGTCTGTCAGCGTCCAGCCCCAGAGCTGAGGGGGCGGACGCTATTCCTGTTTCATCCTCTGGGTGGAGCTGCAGGAGGCGGAGCTAGAAATAGCTCTGGATCGGACATTCTGCAACATTTACAGTAATTAGCTCTCAACAACCCGCCCAAAGCAGCTTATTATTCTTAACCGAATAAAACGCCCTCACAAAAGTGCCGCCCCCGGGGTATGCCACTGTACCCAGCATGCACTGCTGCAGGCGACAGCTGAGTCAGTGAGGCAGGAGGACTGGAAAAGTACTAAGAGTTCAGACAGACGGGTCACAGCAGGAAGACCGAACGGATGAAACAGAGGAGGATGAAGTCACAGGTCATACAGTACATACAGCACATACCCTCTCTCTCTCTCTCTCTCTCTCTCTCTCTCACCTGGTACAGGTATCGCTGGTTGAACTGGTGCATGGCTCCCTGTAGCTGGCTCCGCTGGCTCTGCCACTGCTCGTAGTTTCTGACGGATTCAGGTGTGGGCCGCTGCCAGGTGGTGGTCCTGGTGTTGTGGTCGACATAGTAGAACCGGCCACGCTGATCCACACGCTTCTCCCACCTACACACACACACACACACACACACACACATATATATATATATACACATACATATATGGTTCATTGACATGTCCAAGTACATTTTTGTCCCAAAAAATAATTGAATAATTATATGACATATCAAATTATTCAACAATGCCTCTTTTGTGTGAACCATTTTCAGTGCATCCATATAAAACTCATTTTAATTTCTTTTTTCCTCCAAAAATGTCAGGTGGTGCAACCGTACAACCCTATATGTTGATTAAGTAAAATACCAAAAAAGGTAATTTAGTTATAGAATTCCTAATAAAATAGTTTGCCATGATTTTATGTTTGAAAGCTTTTAAATAAGGACCATGTTGCAAATAAGGCAACTTTAAAAAAGCTCAACTCACTGAAAAACTTTTGTCCACAAGTTCTTACTTCCTCAAATGTCACAACCAAAAACAAAGAACTTTTATTTTGACATTTTTTCTGAAAGAGGGGCCAGGACACTTCATCATAAAAAGACCCCAAGCGACCTTCATGATGCAATGCCAAGGTCACAGATTCAGTGAAAGTGTGATGTTTGAGTCGTGGTTAGAACGGTTCTGTTTACCATGTCAGGTGGTCTGACCTCAGGAGAACCATGAACATGTGGAATTATTATAATAATGTTTATTTATTTGAATAAATGTGAGTATAAACTCAAGTTAAATGTTTCTACAGGTGTCTAAATACAACCCCATTTCCAAAAAAGTTGGGACCCAGTGCAAAATGTTAAAAAAAAAAAAATGCAATGATATGCAAATCATTTAAACCCTGTATTTCATTGACAATAGTACAAAGAGAACACATCAAATGTTGAAATGAAGAAATTTTATTATTTTTTGAAAAATATTTGCCCATTTTGAATTTGATGCCAACAACACGTTCCAAAAAAGTTGGGACGGGGGAACAAAAGGCTGGTAAAGTTATGTAATGCTAAAAAAACACCTAGTGGTTGATTGGCAACAGGTCAGTAACATGATTGGGTATAAAGAGCATCTCAGAGAGGCGGAGTCTTTCAGAAGTAAAGATGAGGGGGGGTTCACCACTCTGTGAAAGACCGCACCATCAAACAGTGCAACAATTCAAGAAGAACGCTTCTCAACATAAAATAGCAAAGAACTTCTGCTTTTCTTCATCTACGTATCTCATATCATTATTACTGCAGTGACACTGACGTGGTGGTGGTGTGTTAGTGTTTGTTGCGCTGGTGCAAGAATGACCCACCCCCCAAATAATACCTGCTCTGTAGGGGTCCTGCGGGGGTTCTGACCACTGAAGAGCAGAGTAACATAGTATGCAGAGAAACAGATGGACTACAGTCTGTAACTGTAGAACTACAGAGTGAAACTATGCGGTCAGTGGAGCTGATACAGTGGACAGTGAGTGTAGAAACAAGGAGGTGATTTTACTGTTATGTATGTATACCTGTACACATAAACACACAGATTCACACAGAGCTGTGTTGTTTTAGTCTATCTCCATGTATGGAGCTCATATCTAAACACACTGTGTCGGGGGGTGGTGGGGGGTGGTGTTGAGGTTGTGGCTATTCTCATAGTTCTGACCTCAGCACAGCAGAATTTAGCAGGGAAAACAGCACATATTCTCTCTGTGTTCTCCAGGCTGAAGTCTCTCCCACAGAGCAGCACAGACTGTACATGTGTGTGTGTGTGTGTGTGTGTGTGTGTGTGTGTGTGTGTGTGTGTGCTGTTCAAACACACTCCACTCACACTCTCCTGTCTCCCAAAGACTGGCCAACGCAGGCCCCGAGCTGCTCTTAGCGCGCTACGCTAATTGAGCCTCAGAAGAGCCGCCTGTTCTGAAAGAGCTTCTGTTCTCCTCCAGCTCGAACTGCAGCGGAAAAACTGAAGCAGGACGACCTTTACGCTTTCGCAACCAGAACACACCAACACCAGCGCTTTAAAGCGATAGTTCAGTGAAAAATCATGTTCCCCGAGCCCCCCCCCTGTAGGGGTCCTTACCCCAAAGCCAGAACATCAGCCAAGACGTGTTTAGAGATTATTGAACAAACCCACACGGTTTGAAGCAAAGGTAGACCAGGTGTAGTGCAGTTAGCACCACGCTAATTGGTTGAGGATTATCACGATGTGCAAATCATGCAAATAATTTTAAAGGAAAATAGTACAAAGACAACATATCAAATGTTCAAATCTGTTTTTGAAAAATATTTGCCCATTTTGAATTTTATGCCAACAACACGTTCTAAAAAAGTTGGGACGGGGGCCTGTTTACCACTGTGTTTCATCACCTCTACTTCAACAACACTCGTGTTTGGGAGCTGAGGAGACGCTGCTGTAGTTCTGAAAGTGAAATGTTTTCCTGTTCTTGTTTGATACAGGATTTCAGCTGCTCAACAGTTCAGGGGCTCATTTGTCATATTTTTCATTTCATAATGTGCCAAATGTTTTCAGTGGTGACAAGTCTGGACTGCAGACAGGTCAGTTTAGTGCACGTCATGCATGCCATGTGCACTAATTCACCCCTATACCATCATGAATGCTGGCTTTTGAACTGTGCACTGATAACAAGCTGAGTGGTCTTTAGCCCGGAGGACACAGTGAACATGATTTCCAAAAAGAATTTCAAATATTGATTCATCAGACCACAGGACGCTTTTCCACTTCATCTCAGTTCATTTTAAATGAGCTCAGGCCCAGAGAAGGCGGTGGCGTTTCTAGATCCTGTTTATGTACAGTTTCTTCTTTGCGTTTTTGAGTTTTAACTTTCATTTGTGGATGCAGTGATGAACTGTTTTCACAGACAGTGCTTTTCAGAAGTGTTTCTGAGCCCATGCAGTGATTTCCACTACAGAATCATGTCTGTTTTTAATGCAGTGCTGTCTGAGGGCCCAAAGATCACAGCCAGCAAATACTGGTTTTTGGCCTTGTCCCTTACATACAGAGATTTCTCCAGATTCTCTGAATCTTTTAATGGTATTATGTACTGTAGATGATGAAAAGCAGAAGTTCTTTGCTATTTTATCTTGAGAAGCGTTCTTCTTGAATTGTTGCACTATTTAATTGTGTAGTCTTTCACAGAGTGGTGAACCCCTCCTCATCTTTACTTCTGAAAGGCTCCGCCTCTCTGAGATGCTCTTTTATATCCAATCGTGTTACTGACCTGTTGCCAATCAACCACTAGGTGTTTTTTTTAGCATTACACAACTTTACACGCCTTTTGTTCCCCCGTCCCAACTTTTAGAGCATCAAATTCAAAATGGGCAAATATTTTTCAAACAACAGAATTTCTCAGTTTAAATATTTGCTATGTTGTCTTTGTACTATTTTCAATGAAATACAGGGTTTAAATGATTTGCACGTCATTGCATTTTGTTTTTATTTACAATGGGGTTGTAATATTTTTCTAATTAAACTAAAAACTAAACTGAACTCTTTGCATTGATTTCTTAAATCTCCTTGTGTTCTCTCTTCTTGTTATTTCGGTGATGCTTTGTCAACACAGTAAGTAAATATGATGTGAAGTTCATATGTGTGATTAAAGCTCACTGAAATGTTGACATTTAAAAATGTAGAGAGTGATAAAAAAGGTAGGGAGATATATAGATACTGACCCAGGTGGGAGGGGTCGTTCCCAGGTTGTAGTTTTGGTGTTGTGATCAACGTAATAAACCCGCCCATGAGGGAGAACTCTCTGTTCCCAGCTGCAGAGAGAGAGAGAGAGAGAGAGAGAGAGAGAGAGAGAGAGACAGAAAGAGAGACAGAAAGAGAGAGAGAGAGAGAGAGAGAAGGATTAATAATGGAATTCTGCACAAATACTTACTGTGACTGCACATGCAACATATGCAACTACATCACATACAGCTGCACACGCGATATAAAACCGTACACTCGTGACAGAAACTTATACAACTGCACATACATGACACACAAAACTGTACATGCAACCTAGAAATGTTTGATGAGGCAACCATGCCCCTCTCACACACACACACACACCCCCCCACACACACACCCACACACAGACACACACACACACACACACACACACACCCCCACACACACACCCACACACAGACACACACACACACACACCCCCCCACACACACACCCACACACAGACAGACACACACACACACACACACACCCCCCCACACACAGACACACACACACCCACACACAGACACACACACACACACCCCCCCACACACAGACACACACACACACACACACACACCCCCCCACACACACACCCAGACACAGACACACACACACACACACACACACACACACAGACACACACACACACACACACACACCCCCACACACACACCCACACACAGACACACACACACACACACACACACACCCCCCCACACACACACCCAGACACAGACACACACACACACACACACACACACACAGACACACACACACACCCTGCAGGTAAGGATTCCATGGCAGGCTCTGTGGGCTGGTCATCAGTGGTGGGTGGGGCTGCATCTGCAGGGGGTGGGGCTATACTGTCTGGACCAATAGGAACGCTGTTTCCTGCAGATCTGAGTGATGGAGATGAGGGAGGGGGGGTGGGCCCCAGACTGCCACGCCCATTCTCCAGCACCTCCACCGGCAGCTCACCTTTACCTGAGCACACATATATGCGTATATTATTTGAAAACGTAACTATTCATATGTGATATGTAATGTTTTCAGGGGTGAAGCGTACCCGTGCGGTGGTGTGAGGAGGTTTCTCCGTTTATTTCTCCGTTAGTGAGAGTCGTTCCCCTCGAGCCGCTGGGAGACTCCGCACGAGATCCAGCAGCAGAGTGTCTCTGAGTCCTAAACACACAGATTATCATACGCTCAAAGTTTTACAGATAAACTGCACATAATTAAGTTATAAGCTAAAAGTAGTGGGACCACCCGCACTTTAGTTCATGTTTAAAGCACCATCAATTATAAATTTACCGTTATTTGTTAAATACATTAGTCTCAAACCTCCAGTACTAAAACGTTCACTTTAAAGAGGAACTCCACTGATTTATCAAAATTTCTGCATCATAAATTGATTAACTTGCAACCAGAGGCATGCAGAGTGGTTTGGTGTGAAACGCTCCGTTTTAAAGAAACTTAAGTCAGAACTGTTCACAGTGGTGGTGATAGGAACCAGACGTCCACCTCTAAAAGCTCCCTCACAGAAAGTTCCTACATGAAATGGTTATGAATTCACTGCCTGATGACTGAGACACTGTTTTATGATAGTTTAAAGAACTTAAACTCCATTCATGGTGGAGGGATACATGCAGGGCGCTGTGAGGCAAAATAGTCCCAAAGAAAATGTATTATTTCAGATTTTCCACTATTTTCCATCATCTGAACCATTTCACACCAAACCACTCTGAATCACTCTGTTTACACCTCAAACACTCAATTATGGGGGAATTTTGGAAAATCTGCAGAATTCCCCTTTAAGGCCTGCTGTAGGCAGGTACCCAACAGATGGGTTATGTGGAGCATATAACAGTGGAATTTGTCAGTGGCTCCCCTGCAATACAGAAATTTATTAGAACACTATGAACGAACACTTATCTAGTACATCTCGTAATGTTTAGCACTTTCTTTCTGTTGTGTATGTTTCTTTTCTGTTGTCAGTTTCTGTGAAGTCTATGTTTCTGACTCTTTTCTGTCAGTCTCTGAGCTCATCTGTAGTTTTTACTGTAATCTATTTGTACTAATTAAAGATAATTTTCTCTGAGTGAACAACAAAACTCTTTTGTAAGTTGCTCTAAATAAGCACATTTACATGCCGTAAATTTAAACGTAAAGCTCTATAAACTCACCTGCATTCACTCTATTATCCTCTCTAATGGACAGTGAACTGTATGTGGTGTATTTGGTTTCATATTTCGAATCATCATGAAAAGATTTAAATTCTTATGTTATTTAACTCAGCTAAGTGACACGCATAACACAAAGCTGCATCACATATACAACTGCACACGTGACAAAATGGATAATGCTAGCTGGCTAACTCTGCTGACTGGAAATAGCTAACACTCTAGCTAACTCTGCTAAATGGAAGTAGCTAACTCTATAGCTAACTCTGCTGACTGGAAACAGCTAACTCTATAGCTAACTCTGTTGACTGGAAACAGCTAACACTCTAGCTAACTCTGCTAAATGGAAGTAGCTAACTCTATAGCTAACTCTGCTGACTGGAAATAGCTAACTCTATAGCTAACTCTGCTGAGTGGAAACAGCTAACTCTATAGCTAACTCTGCTGAATGGATATAGCTAACTCTATAGCTAACTGTGCTGAATGGATATAGCTAACTCTATAGCTAACTCTGCTGAATGGATATAGCTAACTCTATAGCTAACTGTGCTGAATGGATATAGCTAACTCTATAGCTAACTCTGCTGACTGGAAACAGCTAACTCTATAGCTAACTCTGCTGACTGGAAACAGCTAACTCTATAGCTAACTCTGCTGAGTGGAAATAGCTAACTCTAGCTAACTCTGCTGAGTGGAAATAGCTAACTCTATAGCTAACTGTGCTGACTGGAAATAGCTAACTCTATAGCTAACTGTGCTGACTGGAAATAGCTAACTCTAGCTAACTCTGCTGACTGGAAACAGCTAACTCTATAGCTAACTCTGCTGACTGGAAACAGCTAACTCTATAGCTAACTCTGCTGACTGGAAATAGCTAACTCTGCTGACTGGAAATAGCTAACTCTAGCTAACTCTGCTGACTGGAAATAGCTAACTCTAGCTAACTCTGCTGACTGGAAATAGCTAACTCTAGCTAACTCTGCTGACTGGAAATAGCTCACTCTAGCTAACTCTGCTGACTGGAAATAGCTAACTCTAGCTAACTATGCTGACTGGAAACAGCTAACTCTATAGCTAACTCTGCTAAATGGAAGTAGCTAACTCTGCTGACTGGAAATAGCTAACTCTAGCTAACTCTGCTGAGTGGAAATAGCTAACTCTTGCTAACTCTGCTGACTGGAAATAGCTCATTCTAGCTAACTATGCTGACTGGAAATAGCTAACTCTAGCTAACTCTGCTGAGTGGAAATAGCTAACTCTTGCTAACTCTGCTGACTGAAAATAGCTAACTCTAGCTAACTCTGCTGACTGGAAATAGCTAATTCTATGGCTAACTCTGCTGACTGGAAATAGCTAACTCTATAGCTAATTCTGCTAAATGGAAATAGCTAACTCTATAGCTAACTTTGCTGACTGGAAATAGCTAACTCTGCTGACTGGAAATAGCTAACTCTAGCTAACTCTGCTCATGGAAAAAAGCTAACTAATTCTGATGACTAAAAGTAGCTAACGCTAACTAACTGACAATGGCTAATACAAGCTAACTCTGCGAGACTTCTTCTGCCTCCTATCTACAGACTGTCACACAGCACCACCTCCTGTACTGAAGCAGCAACTGTTCAAAGTCTCTGCTGCTACAAGCTGATTGAGGAACAAAACTGCAGCAGAATTTGATCAAAAACAGCTTAAATATGCATTACAGATTTCAAAAACACCTTCTATTTTGATAATAGCTGTTTCCTGACCTGCTGTGGGGGCTGGCAGTTCCGGGCGTCTCGTCGCTCTGAGTCCTGCGGAGATTTGGCCGATCTGATTGCAGCATCTCTGCACACACAAATAATTTCAATTCATTTATTTAGACTCACTTAATTCAGAAACTGTCAAACTGGGGACCTTCTGGCCAAAGTGCTGCGGAGATTAGCGTTTACCCTCATCTAACGCTCTGAATTCAGTTCCTGAAGGTGACTTTATTAAAACCTTTATTAATTACCTACAAAAAAAAAGAATAACCAAATCCCATAATTAAAATCCGAATATCTGCCCAACGAACAAATTTCTGAATATTCGGATATTCAGGTCCAGCGCTAGTAAACAGCCATGTTTGCTAGTCATCTACTGGTTTATGTTATGGAGTTCTGCTCAAAATGAACTAAAATTGTCTACCGAAACATCTGATAATGTTTTGGTAGTGTTACATGATGTTTTGGTAGTGGCAAAATGAAATGTTCAGTCATTTGTTTTATTAAAAAAGAACCAAAACTAAGGTACAGGTCACGCAGTTCAGTGAACTGTGAGATGTGATGGTGAGGGTCACTGGGCGACAGGTAACGTCTACACCGGCGCAGTCTCAGTACTGAGCGCAGAGGCGGAGTGAGTGTGTAAATCAGGGGAACAAACCCAACAACCCCAAACACACACCTTTAACCCTCCCTCTGACATAAAGAAGCTGTTATTCTGCAGCGGACACGGACACGGACACACACACACACACACACACACACACACACACACACACACAGACCTGTTACACCACACTCGGGTCATTCACTAACATCTCTATTAGTTTCACACCAAGACACCCTGACCCGACCGCTCACTGCAGCGACTCCCACCAGCGAAACTCAGTTTGGAAACCCACTGTTTTATATGGAACCGTTTCCTTTTACTGACCTTGTTAGTCGAGGATTCATTAAACCATGAAGGAGATTATTAAAAACATACTGTAATTTTAATTATAAGTGGTTAATGAGGCATCACTGCTCTTACTCAGGAAAATGTTTGAAGGAGACAAGATTAGTCCCATTTGAGAAAATACAGGGTCAAAATGAACACTCAGTTCTGAAGCCTTCTTCAAATCAAACTTCATACTATAGTAGTGACTGGAAAAATCACAGTAGATACTGAATAATTCATAGTAGATACTCAATAATTTAGAATAGATACTCAATAATTCATTGTAGACACTGAATAATTAATAGCATATGCTGAATAATTAATAGAAGAAACTGAATAAGAGCAGATACTGAATAATAATTAATAACAAATACTGCATAATTAATAATAGACACTGAATAATTAATAGCAGATACTGAACAATTTATTGTGAAAATTGAATAATTAATAGAAGAAACTAAAAAATTAATAGCGGAAACTGAAAAATGGAAAGATGTGTTACAGTAGTAGCTGAGAGTGATCCAAGATGTGTTACAGTAGTAGCTGAGAGTGATCTGGGGCTGAGATGTGTTACAGTAGTAGCTAAGAGTGATCTGGGGCTGAGGTGTGTTACAGTAGTAGCTGAGAGTGATCCGAGATGTGTTACAGTAGTAGCTGAGAGTGATCTGGGGCTGAGATGTGTTACAGTAGTAGCTGAGAGTGATCTGGGGCTGAGATGTGTTACAGTAGTAGCTGAGAGTGATCTGAAATGTGTTACAGTAGTAGCTGAGAGTGATCTGGGGCTGAGATGTGTTACAGTAGTAGCTGAGAGTGATCCGAGATGTGTTACAGTAGTAGCTGAGAGTGATCTGGGGCTGAGGTATATTACAGTAGTAGCTGAGAGTGATCCAAGATGTGTTACAGTAGTAGCTGAGAGTGATCTGGGGCTGAGATGTGTTACAGTAGTAGCTGAGAGTGATCTGGGGCTGAGATGTGTTACAGTAGTAGCTGAGAGTGATCCGAGATGTGTTACAGTAGTAGCTGAGAGTGATCTGGGGCTGAGATGTGTTACAGTAGTAGCTGAGAGTGATCCGAGATGTGTTACAGTAGTAGCGGAGAGTGATCTGAAATGTGTTACAGTAGTAGTTGAGTGATCTGGGGCTGAGGTGTGTTACAGTAGTAGCTGAGAGTGATCTGGGGCTGAGATGTGTTAGAGTAGTAGCTGAGAGTGATCCGAGATGTGTTACAGTAGTAGCTGAGAGTGATCTGGGGCTGAGATGTGTTACAGTAGTAGCTGAGAGTGATCTGGGGCTGAGATGTGTTACAGTAGTAGCTGAGAGGGATCCGAGATGTGTTACAGTAGTAGCGGAGAGTGATCTGAAATGTGTTAGAGTAGCAGCTGAGAGTGATCTGAGGTCTGTTACAGTAGTAGTTGAGTGATCTGGGGCTGAGGTGTGTTACAGTAGTAGCTGAGAGTGATCTGGGGCTGAGATGTGTTAGAGTAGTAGCTGAGAGTGATCCGAGATGTGTTACAGTAGTAGCTGAGAGTGATCTGGGGCTGAGATGTGTTACAGTAGTAGCTGAGAGTGATCTGGGGCTGAGATGTGTTACAGTAGTAGCTGAGAGGGATCCGAGATGTGTTACAGTAGTAGCTGAGAGTGATCTGGGTCTGAGATGTGTTACAGTAGTAGCTGAGAGTGATCCGAGATGTGTTACAGTAGTAGCTGAGAGTGATCTGAGCTGTGTTACAGTAGTAGCTGAGAGTGATCTGGGGATGTGTTACAGTAGTAGCGGAGAGTGATCTGAAATGTGTTAGAGTAGTAGCTGAGAGTGATCTGAGATGTGTTACAGTAGTAGTTGAGTGATCTGGGGCTGAGGTGTGTTACAGTAGTAGCTGAGAGTGATCTGGGGCTGAGGTGTGTTACAGTAGTAGCTGAGAGTGATCTGAGGTGTGTTATAGTAGTAGCTGAGAGTGATCTGGGGCTGAGGTGTGTTACAGTAGTAGATGAGTGATCTGAGGTGTGTTGCAGTAGTAGCTGAGAGTGATCTGGGGCTGAGGTATATTACAGTAGTAGCTGAGAGTGATCTGGGGCTGAGGTGTGTTACAGTAGTAGCTGAGAGTGATCTGGGGCTGAGGTGTGTTACAGTAGTAGCTGAGAGTGATCTGGGGCCGAGGTGTGTTACAGTAGTAGCTGAGAGTGATCTGGGGCTGAGGTGTATTACAGTAGTAGCTGAGAGTGATCTGAGATGTGTTACAGTAGTAGCTGAGAGTGATCTGGGGCTGAGGTGTGTTACAGTAGTAGCTGAGAGTGATCTGGGGCTGAGATGTGTTACAGTAGTAGCTGAGAGTGATCTGGGGCTGAGATGTGTTACAGTAGTAGCTGAGAGTGATCCGAGATGTGTTACAGTAGTAGCTGAGAGTGATCTGGGGCTGAGGTGTGTTACAGTAGTAGCTGAGAGTGATCTGGGGCTGAGATGTGTTACAGTAGTAGCTGAGAGTGATCCGAGATGTGTTACAGTAGTAGCTGAGAGCAATCTGGGTCTGAGATGTGTTACAGTAGTAGCTGAGAGTGATCCGAGATGTGTTACAGTAGTAGCTGAGAGTGATCTGGGGCTGAGGTGTGTTACAGTAGTAGCTGAGAGTGATCTGAGGTGTGTTACAGTAGTAGCTGAGAGTGATCTGGGGCTGAGGTGTGTTACAGTAGTAGATGAGTGATCTGAGGTGTGTTGCAGTAGTAGCTGAGAGTGATCTGGGGCTGAGGTATATTACAGTAGTAGCTGAGAGTGATCTGGGGCTGAGGTGATCTGGGGCTGAGGTGTGTTACAGTAGTAGCCGAGAGTGATCCGAGATGTGTTACAGTAGTAGCTGAGAGTGATCTAGGGCTGAGGTGTATTACAGTAGTAGCTGAGAGTGATCTGAGATGTGTTACAGTAGTAGCTGAGAGTGATCTGGGGCTGAGGTGTGTTACAACAGTAGCTGAGAGTGATCTGAGATGTGTTACAGTAGTAGCTGAGAGTGATCTGGGGCTGAGATGTGTTACAGTAGTAGCTGAGAGTGATCTGGGGCTGAGGTGTGTTACAGTAGTAGCTGAGAGTGATCTGAGGTGTGTTACAGTAGTAGCTGAGAGTGATCTGAGCTGTGTTACAGTAGTAGCTGAGAGTGATCTGAGCTGTGTTACAGTAGTATCTGAGAGTGATCTGGGGCCGAGGTGTGTTACAGTAGTAGCTGAGAGTGATCTGGGGCTGAGGTGTGTTACAGTAGTAGATGAGTGATCTGAGGTGTGTTACAGTAGTAGCTGAGAGTGATCTGGGGCTGAGGTGTGTTACAGTAGTAGATGAGTGATCTGAGGTGTGTTACAGTAGTAGCTGAGAGTGATCTGGGGCTGAGGTGTGTTACAGTAGTAGATGAGTGATCTGAGGTGTGTTACAGTAGTAGCTGAGAGTGATCTGGGGCTGAGGTGTGTTACAGTAGTAGCTGAGAGTGATCTGGGGCTGAGCTGTGTTACAGTAGTAGCTGAGAGTGATCTGGGGCTGAGCTGTGTTACAGCAGTAGCTGAGAGTGATCTGAGGTGTGTTACAGTAGTAGCTGAGAGTGATCTGGGGCCGAGGTGTGTTACAGTAGTAGATGAGAGTGATCTGGGGCTGAGGTGTGTTACAGTAGTAGATGAGTGATCTGAGGTGTGTTACAGTAGTAGCTGAGAGTGATCTGGGGCTGAGGTGTGTTACAGTAGTAGATGAGTGATCTGAGGTGTGTTACAGTAGTAGCTGAGAGTGATCTGGGGCTGAGGTGTGTTACAGTAGTAGATGAGTGATCTGAGGTGTGTTACAGTAGTAGCTGAGAGTGATCTGGGGCTGAGGTGTGTTACAGTAGTAGCTGAGAGTGATCTGGGGCTGAGGTGTGTTACAGTAGTAGCTGAGAGTGATCTGGGGCTGAGGTGTATTACAGTAGTAGCTGAGAGTGATCTGGGGCTGAGATGTGTTACAGTAGTAGCTGAGAGTGATCTGAGCTGTGTTACAGTAGTAGCTGAGAGTGATCTGAGGTGTGTTACAGTAGTAGCTGAGAGTGATCTGGGGCTGAGGTGTGTTACAGTAGTAGATGAGTGATCTGAGGTGTATTACAGTAGTAGCTGAGAGTGATTTGGGGCTGAGGTGTGTTACAGTAGTAGCTGAGA